GCTGCCATCAGTCTCCTGAACCTGCTGAAGATCGCCAACAACATGTACAACCCGTACGGGAACCAGTGGCCGGGCCAAGGTCCCTACGGAGCCAACCAGAACTCTGAACGTGACCCTGGAATGGGGACCTCCAACGTGGCCTATCCCAACATGGCCCAACCCAACGTGGCCCAACCCAACGTAGCCTATCCCAACATGGCCCAACCCAACGTGGCCTATCCCAACATGGCCCAACCCAACGTGGCCTATCCCAACATGGCCCAACCCAGCTTGGGGTCCTTCAACCCTCCTGGAGCCCCAGGGTCTGCAAACCCTCGGCCCAACATGTACTCCCAGCCCCCGTCCTACAGAGCAGAGCAGAGCACAGTGGAGATGGAGAGGAGCCTGGACCAGCAGCTGAGCCGAGCGCGTGAAGAGGTCCGTCGACTGTCGCAGCCGCCCCCTCAGAGAGATGATGCTTACTCTCCATATTCCAGCTACTCCTCCCCTGCCCCCGCTCCCTCCAGCCACCAGAGCCTTGGACTAGACAGTGGTGTTGGTGGATCTCTGAGTTGGCTTTTGAACCTGAGCAAGCCGTCCTCAGTTGAACCGCGCCCAGTTCCGCACCCCTCTGTGAACTTCCTGAGCAGTGGAGATGCTCCGAGGGGCCGCAGTGACTCTTCTATTCCAGGACTGGGAGACTATGCAGACCAAGACAAGCCTCCACCTGAAACCAAAGACCCCGCTCCTGCCAAGTACAACGCAGAGACAGCTGCCAACATCCTCCGCCATTTTAAGCTGGAGAAGGAAGATCTTGAGCAGTTGATCTCTTACCCTGAGAATGAAATCACACCTGATAATTTGCCGCTGATCCTGCGGCAGATTGCTATGGACAAGAACAGGAAGGCTGCAACAGCACCCTCCTCTTACAAAGACTCTTTTCACCCGAGACTGGGAGGTGATAGCCAAAACAAAGCAATGGACTATACAAAGAAAGACATGCCAGCTTCCACATCAAGTAGTGGAATGGACCATGATAAGGACCGGTCATACACCAGTATTCCTCCAATTCCAAGTAAAATGGAATTGGAAAAAGATGCATCGACTGTTTTGCAGCCGAGTAAGATTATTGAATATGGACATACTGGGAAATACATGGGCAGTTCTGGAGCATCGGATAGTAAGGGTACGATTGCAAGAGCGATCCAAGGGATAATGAAAATTGACACAGGTTTCATAAGCAAACCTCTCCTGTCCACATCTTCTACAACTCCGTCCACAGCTGCAAAGCCCATTAGCAGTTTGGTATCGCCACCACAAGACAAAGCTGGCCTCAAAAAGAGTTTCTCCTCAATGTTTTCTTCAACTTTCACCCCTGCTGGGTCGAGCAGCAAGCCTTCCACTCAACCTCCTTCCATATTGAAAAACCCAACCCCAATGAAAACGCCTCCCGCGACCACAGCGTTCAGCATTCCCAAACAAGACACAGATATACGCCAGGTGGTGGAGGTCAAGCTGCATTCTGGTGACACCAAGAAAACCAAAGAGCCAGTGCCTCATCACAAACCCATGGGACAGTCGGCCAATGTGGTGATTACGCCAACGATGTCTCAGAGGACCGTGTTCATGTCTGATCCTCCCAACGTGTCGTCTATTCCAACTCTCTCCAGCAACGCCACAGGACGCCCCACCATCGTCCCGCCACTGAAGCAAATGCCGCCTGCTGCTGCTCCAACAACGAAAGGGAATTTGATACCAGTAAAGCCAACGCCAACACCCCAAACGAAGGCCCAACCCAAACCCGATCTCAAGGCCCAACCCAAGCCTCAATCAAAACCACAACCGAAGCTCCAACCAAAACCATCGAAGCCACAGTCAAAGCCGCAGTCAAAGCCAGCTCCAGCTCCAGCCAAGGCCTCCTCCTCGGTGAAGGGGTTGCCGACCTCCGCCATGATGGAGGACTACGCCGCTGCGACTCCGAGGATCTTTCCACATACCTGTTGTCTCTGTCACAAAGAATGTGTCCAGATGAAGGTGAGTGGACGACTGCTCTCTCTTCTGTCTCCTTTTATTTAACACTCCAAAATAAACAATAATGCAAATGTGGCTTAGTCCATTTACTGTTTACGTCTGTGGGATGTGTCTGTTGTCGTGGGATGTGTCTGTTGTCGTGTGATGAAGTCGTGTTGGTTCCATTTGTATTTCAAAGATCTATGGTTTTTTTTCTCTGTGTAAAATCCCATATTATGCTTTTCTAGACTATCTCTAATCGGTAATTTACTCAGCTGTTGGAAATATCCAACACCATAAGAGCAAAAACTGACTCGTCTCTTTCTTCGTTTGAATTTTTTAAGTCATATGATTACATCTATGCCCGTTTTGGGAATTCCAAAACCGGATCACTAACTTCACCTGAATCGTGAGCTGAGTCCGTCGACAAGTTTTATTTTATTTGAATGTTTTATGTCAATCTTGAGACTTCAAATGTTCGAGCCACAGGTGCCGTAGATAATCGTCTTTATTACAGAGCACAAAGAAGTATGTTCGGTCTTTAAAAAGCAAAGAGTTTTGTTTATTTAAGCATAATCTGGGATCTTTACAATCGGCATGAGCTGAAGTCTATGAAGACGAGATGTGAAGACCCAAGAGAAGGATGGAAGACCTCCAGGCCTCTGCCGGTCTCTGTGGAGAGACCCTCCCTCATGGACCTTCTGTTCATTTGTCACTTAAATCAATGTTGTAATTGTATTTCAAGTTGTTTGTATGTTCTTAAGACCTTGTAATGTTTGGTGAAATTTGCTCACAAACCACACTTTGGACCCAGAGCGATTTCCCCGAGACTTCATTCCTCTTCCAAGATGACGGAGAAACACCGACGGCTTCAAGTTCAGAAGAGGATGAAGGATTTTTAGAGCAACCTTTTTTAAAGAATATAAATGTTATTACTAAAATGTATTAGTTTGGGAAGCCTCATGGTGTTTGTGATGATTAAGTGATTTGGTCTTTCTACACCAGACAAATGTCAGACAGCGATGTTTTTACCTCCTGTTTCGATCCAACTCTTAAACAAGCCCCCAGCAGGGGGCGGCGTCAGCCTGTACACCACAGACCAGCAGGGGACGGCGTCAGCCTGTACACCACAGACCAGCAGGGGGCGCTGTCCAGTGAACCACACGGTCGCTGGGCTGACTGCACCTGGGAAGAGCAGCTGATGAGATGCGTGTGATGTCGCAAGACGCTTCTGAGGAGACAGTGTAGCGTCGGATCAGGAGGAGACCGAGTGTAGCGTCGGATCAGGAGGAGACCGAGTGTAGCGTCGGATCAGGAGGAGACCGAGTGTAGCGTCGGATCAGGAGGAGACCGAGTGTAGCGTCGGATCAGGAGGAGACCGAGTGTAGCGTCGGATCAGGAGGAGACCGAGTGTAGCGTCGGATCAGGAGGAGACCGAGTGTAGCATCGGATCAGGAGGAGACCGAGTGTAGCGTCGGATCAGGAGGAGACCGAGTGTAGCGTCGGATCAGGAGGAGACCGAGTGTAGCGTCGGATCAGGAGGAGACCGAGTGTAGCGTCGGATCAGGAGGAGACCGAGTGTAGCGTCGGATCAGGAGGAGACCGAGTGTAGCGTCGGATCAGCAGGAGACCGAGTGTAGCGTCGGATCAGGAGGAGACCGAGTGTAGCGTCGGATCAGGAGGAGACCGAGTGTAGCGTCGGATCAGGAGGAGACGTCGCTCTCACATTTGTCTGGTGAAGAAACAAACTGTTTTCTGTGAGGTTTTGAAAGTACAATCCATTGTTCCTTCTGTTGAAACTAAACCCCAGAGGAAAAGCCCAGGTCTTCATCAAAGAGAAGCAGAACGAAGGGTTGTTGTAAAGACAAAGGTCTAAATTAAGATAAGATTCGTCAGGGAAATGTCAATGTTGCAGCGCACAGACAGGACAGTCGTGAGAGACACAGGGAGCTCACAGAATGTACACAAGTGTTTCTTAGCTGTAAACGCTTCAACATCAATCTCTCAGAAAAATCTATTATTCAATTAGTGCAAAGTTATATACAGGGTAATAAGTAAAGTGACATTCTGAAGTAGCAGTATTGCCCATGATTGCAGTATTAGTTTAATTCAGACACATGTACAGTAACTACAGTAACAGGAGCAGTGGTGGGAAACTTTGGTACCATCAAACACGGATGCTGTCCCGTGTCGTCTGCATGTTTATGAAGTTACATCAGATTCAACCCCTTTTATCCTTTGTATCCTGGACATTCTTTCACCAATGTATCCACGAAGCTGCTCCCCCCGCCCCTTCTGTTAATTAGACACCAAAGGAAACTCCACAGACAGGACATGTTTGTACTGGTGCAGTTCACTGTCTACCTTTTCTTCCCAACGACCAACGGAGCTGTTAATAAAGTGGATTCTGAACCCTCTGAGCCTTTCTGTTGTGTGTGTTGGGGATTCGAGCTGCTGTCTCTGGGTCTAACATGTGTTTGTTGCTTCACTAGGACTGGATCTCGCACCAGAACTCCACCCTCCACATCGACAAGTGCCAGTTCCTTCGCCTGATGTCAGTAACTTATTTCTATATATTTCTTGTTTAAATATTGAAAATGTTATAGTTTAATGAAAGTTTTGAGACACTTTTTGATGTCAAAGCCTTTACATGTGTATCGTAGCTGATAATACATGTTTTAAATGTTAGTGTTGGTGTGGTTTATGTGAACAGTAGAGACACGAGGAGATCAGGGCTGTTGTGGATCTATTGTTTTGACCACAGGCTCAGCTACAGACCGTAAGAGAGTCATGTTAAAACGCCTCGTCACTGTGTCGTGTGGCTCAGCTGTTCAGTCTCTCACGTGTTCATACAAGTGAGTTCTTTTACTGTCAGGGGCTGTATTCAATGTAATCAGTAAAAGTAAAAAATCGGAAAAACTGCAAGACATGGGGGCGACAGTAGCTCAGTTGTAGAGCATTGGCCTTTGAGCCTGAAGGTTATGGGTTCGAGTCCCACAACACTTTCTCCACCTACTCCTACTGATGTCTGCTGTCATTGTGTTCTTGGGCAAGACACTTAATCTCTGGGAACTGCAGGTGCCACAGTGGGGCGGCTGTAAAGTGTGGTTGTGTCCTTAGGCAAGACACTTCCCCCACATTAGAATGAGTCTGTTGTGTGTGTGAATGGTCTGTGGTGGTGGTGGGCTTCTGTCAGTGTGCCCCAGGGCAGCTGTAGCTACAATAGTAGTTTATCACCACCGTGTTTGAAGAGAAAGAAAAATGTTGTGAAGCGTCTTTAAGTGTCCAAAAAGCGCAGTATGAAACTGATGCGTTATTAAGACTCCAGTGTGCACCAGACAGAAGACACCAGAGCTCTTTGTTACTCTTAAATGTTGGGAAAGAACCGCCTTCTCCACTTTTTGAACTCTGGTCTCATTGGACAAGCACGTATCATCAGAATGATTGACAGTTGGGAGGACCAATAATCTTGATGATCCACCCGGAAGTAGAACATCCTCCTTTATACCTTTTAATGAAATAAGTTTTTCTCTAACTGGATTCCAGTTTAGAGCAGTGTTTCCCAAACCTTTCAGAGGGCGACCCCCCCCCCCATAGTGAGTGTAACAAGCGGCCCCTGACCCCCACTTTGAGAAGCACTGAGAGGACATTGTGTTCCGAGGGGTGCCTCAGGGCTCCATCTTGGGCCCCATGGTATACTCCTTGTACATGTTCCTGTGACAGACTGAGGCGGACATTAAAGTGTGGTGGAGGCAAAACGGCACATTGGATCTAGAAAGTAATGTTTATTTATATAGCGCCTGTCACAGACTACAGTCTCAGAGCGCTTTACATGTTTTAGTCTTTCAGCCTCAGACCTCTGTGACCTGGACACGCAGTCTCAGTTTGAGCACAAACTCTCCTTCTTTCTTTTACATTTGAGTGTAATCTTGATTTTAAAGTCCCTTGATGGTCTTTTGTATCTTTCTGATGTGTCTGAAAGCCCAGCTCTGCACAGGGAGACCAGGCCTAAACCACCGGACTTCATCTCTCAGGCCTTTTTTATATCTAGGCTTTTCCTCCACACTTAGTCTTACACATGTTTTTTACTCTGATGAACCCTTCTGGTGCCAGAATTGTGTATTTCCCAAAAGGGTAAATCAAGTGAGTTTTAATACAGACATTATCCGTGTTGCGTCCCTCGTCTTCTCCTTTAATGCTGTTAGACTGAATCAGGCACATCTTGAATCTGACGGAGAGAGTTTGTCTTGCAGATATCCAGAATGGAATGGAGAAGTCACTGCCAGGTGAGATTATGACCTTGTTTACGTTACTATAATGTAATGAATGTATATATCAGCAGCAGGACAGTGTCTCCCACATGCATCTGTTTGTGTCTAATGGTCCGATGCTAAACTGCACTTGGTCCAGGACACTCTACATTCATGCGCACTGGTCTCTCCCGATGGTCCAATACCATGTGGTTTCTCCCTGTGGTCTCAGATTCTCTAATCTGTGTTGGAGAATCAACAGTTTTGTCAAGTCTGAGGGACTGTTGTTGTGATTGAAGACGATAAAAGAATAAAGAGAATCTAATGTTCAAACCATCAGAACTTTCAGAAACAATTTAAAAACGGAGAATAAAGGGGAACAGATGAAACTATGCAGGTGAGAAAACCAGTGGAACCAACGAGGACCATGTGGATTATTATTCATTCATCTTTATTAAGGACACAATATGGTCCATTTGTAAATAAAAAATAATTAAGCACAGTATACTGCATATAGAAAAATAAATATATGTATTTAATTTGGGTTAAAAACCCTTTGATCTTTGACCTTTGATACATTTAATATAAAAACTCTTATGAAAATAAAAATGGCCAACCTTCATGGGGAGCTGGTTGCTGCAGTGATTCTTCTTTGGCGTCTAAAGCATGTGTTTCTCTCTGGGTCCTGCAGAGACTTGGGGACAGTTCTCCCGCGGCACCAGGAGCATCTCCGCCCTCGCTCTCGTTCTTCCAGCCCACAGCGCCGCCGGTCTCGCTCCACGCACCGCCACTCACGCAGGTCTGCTCTCTGCCTTCCTACGTCTTTATGGTCTTTATACCTGGAATTTTGGTCCACTCCTCTTCAGTTACTTTAATACAAGCAAGAACTGGATAATGTTGGTGTATACTGCGATCTGTGTACAGATGGATGACCACCATGACCCTCATGACCACCATGACCCTCATGACCACCATGACCCTCATGACCACCGCGACCCTCATGACCACCGTGACCCTCATGACCACCATGACCCTCATGACCACCATGACCCTCATGACCACCGCGACCCTCATGACCACCGTGACCCTCATGACCACCGCGACCCTCATGACCACCGTGACCCTCATGACCACCGTGACCCTCATGACCACCGTGACCCTCATGACCACCGTGACCCTCATGACCACCGTGACCCTCACGACCCTCATGACCACCACGACCCTCATGACCACCGTGACCCTCATGACCACTGTGACCCTCATGACCACCGTGACCCTCATGACCACCGTGATCCTCACCCTCATGACCACCATGACCCTCATGACCACCACGACCCTCATGACCACCGCGACCCTCATGACCACCGCGACCCTCATGACCACCACGACCCTCGTGACCACCATGACCACCGTGACCCTCATGACCACCACGACCCGCATGACCACCACGACCCTCATGACCACCACGACCCTCATGACCACCGTGACCCTCATGACCACCGTGACCCTCATGACCACCGTGACCCTCATGACCACCGTGACCCTCACAACCCTCATGACCACCGCGACCCTCATGACCACCGTGACCCTCATGACCACCGTGACCCTCATGACCACCGTGACCCTCACGACCCTCATGACCACCACGACCCTCATGACCACCGTGACCCTCATGACCACCGTGACCCTCATGACCACCGTGACCCTCATGACCACCGTGACCCTCATGACCACCGTGACCCTCGTGACCCTCATGACCACCGTGACCCTCATGACCACCGCGACCCTCATGACCACCGCGACCCTCATGACCACCACGACCCTCATGACCACCGCGACCCTCATGACCACCGTGACCCTCATGACCACCGCGACCCTCATGACCACCGCGACCCTCATGACCACCACGACCCTCATGACCACCGCGACCCTCATGACCACCACGACCCTCATGACCACCGTGACCCTCATGACCACCGTGACCCTCATGACCACCGTGACCCTCATGACCACCGTGACCCTCACAACCCTCATGACCACCGCGACCCTCATGACCACCGTGACCCTCATGACCACCGTGACCCTCATGACCACCGCGACCCTCATGACCACCATGACCCTCATGACCACCACGACCCTCATGACCACCGTGACCCTCATGACCCTCATGACCACCGTGACCCTCATGACCACCACGACCCTCATGACCACCGTGACCCTCATGACCCTCATGACCACCGTGACCCTCATGACCACCACGATAACTGAGACCTTGCAACGCGTAGAAGTGATGGTAATGGACTAATGTGTGAGTCCAGTCCATCCAGCCCCCAGCAGGGTAGGCCGTATGTGAGGGTGGCGTAGGTGTAGGCTGGCGTAGGTGTAGGTTGGTGTAGGTTGGCGTAGATGTAGGCTGGCCTAGGTGTAGGCTACAGTGGGTGTAGGCTGCCGGAGGCGTTCGTGGCGTAGGTGTAGGCTACCGTGGGTGTGGGCTACCGTGGGTGTAGGCTGCCGTGTAGCGGCCGCGTCTCTGCAGACGCGCCTCTGTGTTCTCTCATTCTCTGTTCGTTGGTTTTATTCCAGATCTCGTTCTGTGTCTCCTCCGCCGCATCGAGCTCGTTCTCGTGATCGCCGAGACTCGCCCCAACGCAGACGGAGACGCTCCCCCAGACGCTCACACACTTCAGAGGACCGCAGCCCCTCCCCTCAGAGGAGGAAGACCTCCCCACGAAGATGCCCATCACGAGAAAATGTCTTGCAGCGTCGCAAGGCCTCACGCAGAAGCCCCTCCCCCCAGAGGAGGAAGACCCCCCCACGCAGAAGCCCCTCCCCCCAGAGGAGGAAGACCCCCCCACGCAGAAGCCCCTCCCCCCAGAGGAGGAAGACCTCCCCACGCAGAAGCCCCTCCCCCCAGAGGAAGAAGACCTCACCACACAGAAGCTTCTCCCCCCAGAGGAGGAGGCGCAGGAGCCGAGAGCGCGGGTCCTCCCCTGGGCGCTCCTCCAGGTACTCCCCTGACAGGTACTCCCCTGAAGGGTACTCTCCTCAGAGGTCCCTGAGGTCCTACTCTCCTTCAAGACCAGCCAGGTTTCCATGGAACCTGAGCGAGTCTCCATCCGGAGTCCGTGACACTCGCCCGTCAGAGAAGACGTCTGCACAGAGGGAGCTGGAGCAGATGACCCGCCAGGCGCTGGAGAGCTCAGGTCTGACATCTGTGAAACTGTCTTCTTTGTGGTTCTCACACTTCCACAGATCCACATATGACACATGGTGCCGTTAATGGTCTCTCATTGGTCCAGAGAGATCTTTGCAGATGTTTCTCTGCCGAGCACAGAGGGCCATGATGATTACGATGTCCATGAATTATCATTAACCAAAGATTTAAAACTGACTTAACCGTTTAATCTACGAGACACTCCCGCTCCATGTGTAGGCGGGTGTTAGCGAGCGCAGTGCTCTGATTGGTTGGTCTGACACTAACAAGACTTGGAGGTAGGAAGAGCCATTTATGGCTTTGTATGTTAGATTTTAAAGTTAGGATTTAGGGCACGCTGCCAGCAGGGGGCGCTACAGGAGTGAGGCCTTGAGGAGACAAATGAGTGGATCTGTTCTTCTGCCTTTTCTTACTGATCTGGTTTTATGAACGTAAATCTGTGTCTGCAGCTGTGAAAGTTAATGTTTTTAATGTTTAATGGCAGCATGTAGAGTGAAGAGGGGCAGAGTGCCGATCCTTGTGGCACACCCAGTGTTAGTGAAGACTAAGGCGAGGAGTTTTGGTTCACATTAAAGGAATAGTTCACCGTTTTTACATACTGACATATGTTCTTACCTTACCTTAGACTAGTTAATACGTACCTGTGTGATCTTAGTCCGTGCGCTCTGTTATGCAAACGGAGCAAAAACGGGAGGACAAATGCAGCCTCCTCTGGTCACTGTGTAGCACCAAAAGGTAGCTCCCGCTAGAAGCTACCAAACTCTTCCAAGTGTTCCCTATTAAATGTATATAGTTACGTGACGTGTTACACTGCAAAGTATAGTAACACAGAAATGTAACTGTCGATTTTCTCAGCGGATAAAACGGGTACTATATTGTGAGGCGTAGTAATCTGAGGTGCGCTACGTCCGCGCACTAACTTCTCTCCGTACTACAAGTCACGCTGCTTCTATTGACGGAAGTGAGCGAGAGAGAAGTCTCCGAAGTTAGTGCGCGGACGTAGCGCACCTCAGATTACTACGCCTCACAATATAGTACCCGTTTTATCCGCTGAGAAAATCGACAGTTACATTTCTGTGTTACTATACTTTGCAGTGTAACACGTCACGTAACTATATACATTTAATAGGGAACACTTGGAAGAGTTTGGTAGCTTCTAGCGGGAGCTACCTTTTGGTGCTACACAGTGACCAGAGGAGGCTGCATTTGTCCTCCCGTTTTTGCTCCGTTTGCATAACAGAGCGCACGGACTAAGATCACACAGGTACGTATTAACTAGTCTAAGGTAAGGTAAGAACATATGTCAGTATGTAAAAACGGTGAACTATTCCTTTAACAATCTGATGATTTGGATTTAAACCAGTGATGTCACACTCTGCAGTAGGTCTCCTGAGCACATGGATGTAACTTTATTAGTTCTTTGGCATTTGACAGATTTTTTATCGAAGCTTCTCGTGGTTCTGTCCCGTGGTTCTGTCCCGTGGTTCTGTCCCGTGGTTCTGTCCCGTGGTTCTGTCCCGTGGTTCTGTCTCTGGTTCTGTCTCTGGTTCTGTCTCATGGTTCTCTGTCTTGGTTCAGGATTCTGAGGCAGGACATTAATATCTAAACCTCAGTGCTGTAGGTCAAGACCATGTCACGTGTGTATAATGTGACATCACCCGTGTGTATAATGTGACATCACCCGTGTGTATAATGTGACATCACACGTGTGTATAATGTGACATCACACGTGTGTATAATGTGACATCACACGTGTGTATAATGTGACATCACACGTGTGTATAATGTGACATCACACGTGTGTATAATGTGACATCACACGTGTGTATAATGTGACATCACACGTGTGTATAATGTGACATCACACGTGTGTATAATGTGACATCACACGTGTGTATAATGTGACATCACACGTGTGTATAATGTGACATCACACGTGTGTATAAAGTGACATCACACGTGTGTATAAAGTGACATATGTGTTATAGCGGTGGGACCCCTCGCTGGCTCTGCGGACCTCCCGGCTCTGGCCCAGATGCTGGTCCCTGTCATCATGTCACAGATGCAGCAGATGAAGCCCTCTGCTCCTCAGGTAGTGCCCCCTACAGGCCCCAAGAGAGTAGAGAAGAAGCCTGTGGCCAAGACCCTCACCCCTGGATTTAAGGTGAGTCCGTGACCTCCATCTCCTCATAACATTCAGGACACATAAGGTCCTGGGAAATGGTGTCAGCTCTTCCCTCCTCAGTGTTTGCTTCATGTTCAGACCATAATAAATGTCACACAGACGAGTCTTCTCCTTGTTTTTAAACTCTTTGAATAATATGAGGGTCAGAATACAATGTATCACAGGATCACATAAGTTTGTATCGTGATATATGTAGGGTAACTAAATGCATATATGTCTTAGATGCAGTGCATTTGGATACATTGCATATCTGAAACATATCTACACAGTCGTAACTATTCCTTATTGGAAATTCCCTTATATCTACCTTTATAAGGGTGTGCTTGTTCTAAGAATGGTCTAATTTTGACTAATATAGAGATACCCTATCTGAAGAGGGGGAAAGAAAAGTCTCAAGACCCAACTAAAAGAATCAAGCGGGGTTTTAAAATCAATCTCATAAATATCTAAAAGTGTGAGTTCTATTCGCCAGAGAGCCCATCTTCCAAACTACTAACTAATAACACTGGAGGCTGATAGAGATTTAGCTGTTTATTTACCAAACGAAAAACCTCAGAGCATAAGAAACTGTGAGTCACAATTCAAAGAATGTGCACAATAACCCAAAAGCAGACACATTTAAACACATCGGTATTCAACGATACTTCTTACTGTGTGAAGGTTGCTTTTAGTAAAGTTTCTTTGTTGGTGGACACGTGGTCCGGCTTTGATCCCAGAAAAGTTCCTTTGTTGTTGTCTCATAGTATTCGGCTGTGTAGCGTCGCGTCCCTTCCCGCTTGTTGTTGTGCAGGGGAGAAAGCAGTTTATTGAGCAAGTTCAGAGAGTTGAAACGAGCCTGTTTGAGCTCATACGCGCGGATCCAGCCGCGGGTACAGAACGTGAGGGTCGAAACCCAGGAGAGACGAAAAGCCGAGGAGAGCAAGAAGGCCAAAAATTCAAGAGGGCGCGCTCTGCATTCAGACTGGTTTTGTCTCCAGTCTTAGGGGCGGGTACGTTGTAGTCACTTCCTGTTTCCGGCTTTTCACAACACAGGAACTTCTGGGCATGAGACATATTAAACACAATTGTTTAAAGCACAAACACTTCAACAGACATCGTGACTCACACTTCAATAAAGATTAATGACAACAGAGATGCAGGTTTACATTTTAGTTGCATATACAGCACACTTAAGTTTGGAATGTGTATAGTCCTTTGTTGCCGCTAGGGGGCACTAAAATCACAGTCTGAGAGTCCTGGTCTGGTAGATGGAACAGCAGCAACAACAGTTTGGATTCTCATCCTACATATGTTAGAATCACAGACTGTCTGTATCGTGATATGTTAGAATCACAGACTGTCTGTATCGTGATATGTTAGAATCACAGACTGTCTGTATCGTGATATGTTAGAATCACAGACTGTCTGTATCGTGATATGTTAGAATCACATACGTCTGTATTGTGATATGTTAATCACGATAATGTAAACTGGTCCAAATATCACATTACAATGTAGTCCCCACATCCCCACCTCTACATGAATCTGTGTGTGCTGCAGCCTTCTGTCTCTGTATCTCTCTAGAAGCTTGTTATAAACGGTGCTATATACATAAAGAGGACGTGAGTAATGACCAGTGTGTTGTGCAGACGGTGAAGCCCTCGACGATGGTGCGTCTGGGCGGCATCGTGTCGCCGCTTTCTCACGATGACGTCATGGCGTTCGCTGAGAAGTTTGGAAAAACCAAATCTGTGCTACTGTTTCGGCAAAAAGACCAGGTTGGTGTTTCACTAAAGACACACTGCCACATGGTGTAAGTGCGTATCCCAGGACCAGGGAGCGAGGCCAGAGAGACCAGAGAGAGAGACCAGAGAGAGAGACCAGAGAGAGAGACCAGAGAGAGAGACCAGAGAGAGAGACCAGAGAGAGAGACCAGAGAGAGAGAGACCAGAGAGAGAGACCAGAGAGAGAGAGACCAGAGAGAGAGACCAGAGAGAGAGACCAGAGAGAGAGACCAGAGAGAGAGACCAGAGAGAGAGACCAGAGAGAGAGACCAGAGAGAGAGACCAGAGAGAGAGACCAGAGAGAGAGACCAGAGAGAGAGACCAGAGAGAGAGACCAGAGAGAGAGACCAGAGAGAGAGACCAGAGAGAGAGACCAGAGAGAGAGACCAGAGAGAGAGACCAGAGAGAGAGACCAGAGAGAGAGACCAGAGAGAGAGACCAGAGAGAGAGACCAGAGAGAGAGACCAGAGAGAGAGACCAGAGAGAGAGACCAGAGAGAGAGACCAGAGAGAGAGACCAGAGAGAGAGAGACCAGAGAGAGAGAGAGACCAGAGAGAGAGAGACCAGAGAGAGAGACCAGAGAGAGACCAGAGAGAGAGACCAGAGAGAGAGACCAGAGAGAGAGACCAGAGAGAGAGAGACCAGAGAGAGAGACCAGAGAGAGAGACCAGAGAGAGAGACCAGAGAGAGAGACCAGAGAGAGAGACCAGAGAGAGAGACCAGAGAGAGAGACCAGAGAGAGAGACCAGAGAGAGAGAGACCAGAGAGAGAGACCAGAGAGAGAGAGACCAGAGAGAGAGACCAGAGAGAGAGACCAGAGAGAGAGACCAGAGAGAGAGGACCAGAGAGAGAGACCAGAGAGAGAGACCAGAGAGAGAGACCAGAGAGAGAGACCAGAGAGAGAGAGACCAGAGAGAGAGAGACCAGAGAGCGAGGCCAGAGAGAGAGAGGCAGAGAGGGGCCAGAGAGAGAGGCCAATAAGTTGGGTACCCCAGCTTTTAAAACTGGCTTTAATAAATGTCCTTGTTCCTGAAGGCTGTGGTGTGTTTCGAGAACGAGGAAGATGCAAAGAAGCTGAGAAACAAAGTGGACATAAAGATCAAAGGCCATCCGGTGTTGCTGGTCAAATACAAGGTGAGCCGCAGTCATCCACGTCAATCCTCACGTACAGCCTGCATCTACCAAAGTGTGTGGAGGACCGTGTGTGGAGGACCGTGTGTGGAGGACCGTGTGTGGAGGACCGTGTGTGGAGGACCGTGTGTGGAGGACCGTGTGTGGAGGACCGTGTGTGGAGGACCGTGTGGGAGGACCGTGTGTGGAGGACCGTGTGTGGAGGACCGTGTGTGGAGGACCGTGTGTGGAGGACCGTGTGTGGAGGACCGTGTGTGGAGGACCGTGTGTGGAGGACCGTGTGTGGAGGACCGTGTGTGGAGGACCGTGTGTGGAGGACCGTGTGTGGAGGACCGTGTGTGGAGGACCGTGTGTGGAGGACCGTGTGTGGAGGACCGTGTGTGGAGGACCGTGTGTGGAGGACCGTGTGTGGAGGACCGTGTGTGGAGGACCGTGTGTGGAGGACCGTGTGTGTGTGGAGGACCGTGTGTGGAGGACCGTGTGTGGAGGACCGTGTGTGGAGGACCGTGTGTGGAGGACCGCGTGTGTGTGTGGAGGACCGCGTGTGTGTGTGGAGGACCGCGTGTGTGTGGAGGACCGTGTGTGTGTGGAGGACCGCGTGTGTGTGTGTGTAGGACCGTGTGTGTGTGGAGGACCGCGTGTGTGTGTGTGTAGGACCGTGTGTGTGTGGAGGACCGTGTGTGTGTGTAGGACCGTGTGTGTGTGGAGGACCGTGTGTGTGTGGGAGGACCGTGTGTGTGTGGAGGACCGTGTGTGTGTGTGTGTGTGTGTGTGGAGGACCGTGTGTGTGTGGAGGACCGTGTGTGTGTGGAGGACCGTGTGTGTGTGGAGGACCGTGTGTGTGTGGAGGACCGTGTGTGTGTGGAGGACCGTGTGTGTGTGGAGGACCGTGTGTGTGTGGAGGACCGTGTGTGTGTGGGAGGACCGTGTGTGTGTGGAGGACCGTGTGTGTGTGGAGGACCGTGTGTGTGTGGAGGACCGTGTGTGTGTGGAGGACCGTGTGTGTGTGGAGGACCGTGTGTGGAGGACCGTGTGTGGAGGACCGTGTGTGTGTGTGTGGAGGACCGCGTGTGTGTGGAGGACCGTGTGTGTGTGTGTGTGGGAGGACCGCGTGTGTGTGGAGGACCGCGTGTGTGTGGAGGACCGTGTGTGTGTGTGTGGAGGACCGTGTGTGTGTGTGTGTGTGGAGGACCGTGTGTGTGTGTGTGTGTGGAGGACCGTGTGTGTGTGGAGGACCGTGTGTGTGTGTGTGTGTGTGGAGGACCGCGTGTGTGTGTGGAGGACCGCGTGTGTGTGGAGGACCGTGTGTGTGTGGAGGACCGTGTGTGTGTGTGTGTGTGGAGGACCGTGTGTGTGTGTGTGTGTGTGGAGGACCGTGTGTGTGTGGAGGACCGTGTGTGTGTGTGTGTGTGTGTGTGAGGACCGCGTGTGTGTGGAGGACCGTGTGTGTGTGTGTGTGTGTGGAAGACCGCGTGTGTGTGGAGGACCGTGTGTGTGTGTGTGTGTGTGGAGGACCGCGTGTGTGTGGAGGACCGCGTGTGTGTGTGGAGGACCGTGTGTGTGTGGAGGACCGTGTGTGTGTGGAGGACCGTGTGTGTGTGGAGGACCGCGTGTGTGTGGAGGACCGCGTGTGTGTGGAGGACCGCGTGTGTGTGGAGGACCGCGTGTGTGTGGAGGACCGCGTGTGTGTGGAGGACCGCGTGTGTGTGGAGGACCGCGTGTGGGCGTGTGTGTGGAGGACCGCGTGTGTGTGGAGGACCGCGTGTGTGTGGAGGACCGTGTGTGTGTGTGTGTGGAGGACCGTGTGTGTGTGTGTGTGGGGACCGCGTGTGTGGAGGACCGTGTGTGTGTGTGGAGGACCGTGTGTGTGTGTGTGTGTGGAGGACCGCGTGTGTGTGGAGGACCGCGTGGTGTGTGTGTGTGTGTGTGGAGAGGACCGCGTGTGTGTGTGTGTGTGGAGGACCGCGTGTGTGTGGAGGACCGCGTGTGTGTGGAGGACAGTGTGTGTGCGTGTGTGTGTGGAGGACCGCGTGTGTGTGGAGGACCGCGTGTGTGTGGAGGGCCGTGTGTGTGTGGAGGACCGCGTGTGTGTGTGTGTGTGGAGGACCGCGTGTGTGTGGAGGGCCGTGTGTGTGTGGAGGACCGCGTGTGTGTGGAGGACAGTGTGTGTGCGTGTGTGTGTGTGTGTGTGTGTGGAGGACCGTGTGTGTGTGGAGGACAGTGTGTGTGCGTGTGTGTGTGTGTGTGCGTGTGGAGGACCGCGTGTGTGTGCGGAGGACCGCATGTGTGTGTGGAGGACCGTGTGTGTGTGTGTGGAGGACCGCGTGTGTGTGCGGAGGACCGCATGTGCGTGTGGAGGACCGCATGTGCGTGTGGAGGACCGTGTGTGTGCGTGTGGAGGACCGTGTGTGTGCGTGTGGAGGACCGTGTGTGTGCGTGTGGAGGACCGTGTGTGTGCGTGTGGAGGACTGTGTGTGGAGGACCGTGTGTGTGCGTGTGGAGGACCGTGTGTGTGCGTGTGGAGGACTGTGTGTGGAGGACCGTGTGTGTGTGTGTGGAGGACCGTGTGTGTGTGTGTGGAGGACCGTGTGTGTGGAGGATCCGTGTGTGGAGGGCCGTGTGTGGAGGGCCGTGTGTGGAGGGCCGTGTGTGTGCGTGTGGAGGACCGTGTGTGTGCGTGGGAGGACCGTGTGTGTGTGTGGAGGACCGTGTGTGTGTGTGTGGAGGACCGTGTGTGTGCGTGTGGAGGTGTGGAGGACCGTGTGTGGTGCGTGTGGAGGACCGTGTGTGTGTGTGGAGGACCGTGTGTGTGTGTGGAGGACCGTGTGTGTGCGTGTGGAGGACCGTGTGTGTGTGTGGAGGACCGTGTGTGTGTGTGTGGAGGACCGTGTGTGTGCGTGTGGAGGTGTGGAGGACCGTGTGTGTGCGTGTGGAGGACCGTGTGCGTTGTCTCATATCCAAGAGAACCATTAGTAACTAGTGTTTTTGTCCTGGTCTTGCAGGAGACGTACCAGGAGGTGATGTCTGCGGCTCAGGGCAGTGACCCAGGAGCTGCCCCCAAGAAGATCACCAAACCTATAAAGTCCACCGTGAAGTAAGAGCCACACTCTGCTCTGCTCTGCCCTACCCTACCCTACTCTACCCTACCGCACTCTACCCTACCCTACATTACCCTACCCTACTCTACCCTACATTACCCTACCCTACATTACCCTACCCTACATTACCCTACCCTACCCTACATTACCCTACCCTACTCTACCCTACTTACATTACCCTACCCTACATTACCCAACCCTACCCTACATTACCCTACCCTACTCTACGCTACGCTACACAGTATCCAGCAAAATTCCTTTAACTATGTCTTCCACAGCACTGGCCAATCCCTGTCAGTGACACTTTAGGACCAGCTCGGCCTGGATAGAACCAGGACCAAGAGGGACTAGAGAAGGACCTGGTACTGGTTACACAGGACCAAAGGACAGAGTAGCGATACTGAGACACAGAAAATGCAATGATTACAAACTCTGTCCTTAGAGCCTCCTGCATCAGTCTCCATTCTTCAACTTCAGTCTGTGTGTTTTACTAGTGTAACCCTAACCCAGCTCTACTATTCCTCACAGATCGATTGCTGGGTCCAAATCTGTTTCCAAATGGTCGGGACCTAAAGCCACAGCAAACAAACCGCCTCCAGCGAGACCAGCACGAACCGGCAACTCTGCTGCGAAGAAAGATCCAGCGCCAACGACCAAGAACACAAGAGGAACACAAGCTGCTGCTACAACGCCTCAGACCATTTCCAAAATCTCCAACATCTCCAACCTCTCCACTGTTCCCACCATCGGTTCCACTAACATAGGCATTGCCGAAGTGCTTGTGACCACGGAGAGAAGAGGTGCTGTTTCCCAGAACCTCAGATCGGTCCAACTCTCCAGTCTTAAAGAGGTTCCGATCCGTCACGGCAAGATGGCTTCACGGCCATCCAAACCAGAAACCAACGCTTCAGAAGTAATGGAAGTCAAAGCCATGGACCAGGAACCCATTGAAATCAGCAGCGGGACGGATTGCGAAGACGAAGAAGTGGCTAAAGAAGAACCAAACCCAGCTGGTGAAGGACCTGCCGCGCCAACGAACAAACTGGACGAGCAGGAAAAAGCATCTCCAACTTCAGAGCAACGTTTGGAAAATGGAGATTCCAAAGTGGAAGAACCCAAAGAGAAGGGTTTGGATGAAACTGGTCCAATTCAAGAAATGGAAGGAACTGGCCCAAGTAAAGAGTTGGAAGAAACTGGTCCAATTCGAAATGTGGATACTGTTGACCAGAAAGCATCTGAGACTCTACCAGTCCAGAAGACGTCCCCAGATGAGAGTCTACCAGTCCAGAAGACGTCCCCAGATGAGAGTCTACCAGTCCAGAAGACGTCCCCAGATGAGAGTCTACCAGTCCAGAAGACGTCCCCAGATAAGACCCTACCAGTCCAGAAGACGTCACCAGATGAGACTCTACCAGTCCAGAAGACGTCCCCAGATGAGACCCTACCAGTCCAGAAGACGTCCCCAGATGAGACCCTACCAGTCCAGAAGACGTCCCCAGATGAGACCCTACCAGTCCAGAAGACGTCCCCAGATGAGACCCTACCAGTCCAGAAGACGTCCCCAGATGAGACCCTACCAGTCCAGAAGACGTCCCCAGATGAGAGTCTACCAGTCCAGAAGACGTCCCCAGATGAGACCCTACCAGTCCAGAAAACGTCCCCAGATGAGAGTCTACCAGTCCAGAAGACGTCACCAGATGAGACCCTACCAGTCCAGAAGACGTCACCAGATGAGACCCTACCAGTCCAGAAGACGTCACCAGATGAGAGTCTACCAGTCCAGAAGACGTCACCAGATGAGACCCTACCAGTCCAGAAGACGTCACCAGATGAGACCCTACCAGTCCAGAAGACGTCCCCAGATGAGAGTCTACCAGTCCAGAAGACGTCACCAGATGAGACCCTACCAGTCCAGAAGACGTCACCAGATGAGACCCTACCAGTCCAGAAGACGTCACCAGATGAGACCCTACCAGTCCAGAAGACGTCCCCAGATGAGAGTCTACCAGTCCAGAAGACGTCACCAGATGAGAGTCTACCACAGAGAGACGGTGGACATTCCCAACCTGAGCAAGAGGCCTCTGGACAAACTGAGAATTGTGTTGAGAACGAGGTGGTGTCTGATGCTGCGATGGAGCAGGATGGATCTGTTCTGGTCCCTGAGGACGTGTGTATGGGAAGTGCAGAGGCTGAGGCGACACCAGGGGGCGCTGTGGCTGAGAACACCGAGACATGTAGAGAAGAGGAGACAGAGACGACTGGGGACACGGCAGCAGAGATGATGGATGTGTCAGACGCCGAACAAGTCCCAGGGAAAGATGGTGAGATCCTACAGAACACTGGAACTCCCAGAGCAGTCATTTTGACGGTTTTTAGATTTGGATCTTTGTGACTGGTTTCTGTAGTGATGTGCAGACGTTCTGAATATCAAGTTTAGGCTAAAGTTTGGCTCCAAAGCATGTGTTTGAATGTCAGTTAAATACATCTTATAGGAGACAGACGCAGTGATATTTAAGAAGTGAAATGAAGTTTGTGTCATGTACAGAAAGAATTATTAAACATATTTAGGCATGTGTATATAACATTCAATAAAATACAAGTTCACCCGAAATACTCGTTTAGAGCAACTGAAAGAATACAGTCACCAATGTAAACTTGAGGGCTTTAAGCTAAAGAGTGCTTTTCTAGTAAATAATCATGAATTAAACAGTTATGTTGAACATAGACCTATCTTACTGAAAAAATCATCTACATTCACAAATAACAACTTAAACTCTGTCCTTTCCCCTTAAGACTACTGTCTGTCTGTGTGTGCTCGTGAACCTCCAGCCCATTGTCATTCTCCGGTGACTAAACTAGCACAGCTAGCATGTCGCGCAGTTAGCATGTTCGCCGATGCAGAAGTACCGTGTAATAATAAAATAAACGGATGCCGCACCTTCGTGAACACATACTGCTGTTATATTAAGTCTCTGGAAAGTCTCTGGACACAGCCGCTGCAGAGCTGCATTATTGAAGGAGAAGTGTACACAAAAAGCCGCTAGCTTATCTCCGCTAGCTTATCTCCGCTAGCATAGCTCCGTTAGCTTATCTCCGCTAGCTTATCTCCGCTAGCTTATCTCCGCTAGCTTATCTCCGCTAGCTTATCTCCGCTAGCTTATCTCCGCTAGCTTATCCGCTAGCTTATCTCCGCTAGCTTATCTCCGCTAGCTTATCTCCGCTAGCTTATCTCCGCTAGCTTATCTCCGCTAGCTTATCTCCGCTAGCTTATCTCCGCTAGCTTATCTCCGCTAGCTTATCTCCGCTAGCTTATCTCCGCTAGCTTATCTCCGCTAGCTTATCTCCGCTAGCATAGCTCTGTTAGCCCAGGACTTCTGGTCGGAACACCCCAAGCCTCTGTCATTGAGAGAATGTTCCAGTGTTGCCACTCGCTGCCATCGTCGTGTCCCAGCCCGAGTCAAAGCTAAGTGTGTTTTGTGTGGATTTGTTTCTTCAGATGGTGTTGTGTCTGTGGAAACAACGCTGACAGAAGAACCCAAGCCAGATCCAAACTCAGACCTTAAACCAAGTCCTGAACCAGGCACGGCCAAGCGAACCAGTCCGACAAGACCCACTCCGAGGCCCAGCGCTGCTCCTGGTGCTAGTACTGGCCCTAGACCCAGCTCTGGTCCCAGCTCTGGTCCCAAGTCTAGATCCAGATCTAGACCCAGCTCTAGACCCAGCTCTAGACCCAGCTCTGGACCCAGCTCTGGACCCAGCTCTGGACCCAGCTCTGGACCCAGCTCTGGACCCAGCTCTGGTCCCAGCTCTGGTCCCAAGTCTAGATCCAGATCTAGACCCAGCTCTAGACCCAGCTCTAGACCCAGCTCTAGACCCAGCTCTGGACCCAGCTCTGGACCCAGCTCTGGCCCTACCACCAGGTTTCCTCAGAAGTTTGCCGAGGCTCTGTCTAAACTCGCTAGCCACGCCTTTCGTAAGTTTTAGTTCTTAGTTTTCTCCAGATGTTTTTGTCTGTAGGATTTGACATCTGTTGTTTTCTCGCTGCAGGACAAATTCCAAACTCTACAATACTTTCTCCAGGAGTAAGTTCTGTTACGTTTCTATACAGATACATATACAGATGCTAATGCTAACACAGACTGTATACAGATGCTAATGCTAACACAGACTGTATACAGATGCTAATGCTAACACAGACTGTATACAGATGCTAATGCTAACACAGACTGTATACAGATGCTAATGCTAACACAGACTGTATACAGATGCTAATGCTAACACAGACTGTATACAGATGCTAATGCTAACACAGACTGTATACAGATGCTAATGCTAACAGACTGTATACAGATAGACAATGCTAACACAGACTGTATACAGATGCTAATGCTAACACAGACTGTATACAGATGCTAATGCTAACACAGACTGTATACAGATGCTAATGCTAACACAGACTGTATACAGATAGACAATGCTAACACAGACTGTATACAGATGCTAATGCTAACACAGACTGTATACAGATGCTAATGCTAACACAGACTGTATACAGATGCTAATGCTAACACAGACTGTATACAGATGCTAATGCTAACACAGACTGTATACAGATGCTAATGCTAACACAGACTGTATACAGATGCTAATGCTAACACAGACTGTATACAGATGCTAATGCTAACAGACTGTATACAGATAGACAATGCTAACACAGACTGTATACAGATGCTAATGCTAACACAGACTGTATACAGATGCTAATGCTAACACAGACTGTATACAGATGCTAATGCTAACACAGACTGTATACAGATAGACAATGCTAACACAGACTGTATACAGATGCTAATGCTAACACAGACTGTATACAGATGCTAATGCTAACACAGACTGTATACAGATGCTAATGCTAACACAGACTGTATACAGATGCTAATGCTAACACAGACTGTATGCAGATGCTAATGCTAACACAGACTGTATACAGATGCTAATGCTAACACAGACTGTATGCAGATGCTAATGCTAACACGGACTGTATACAGATGCTAATGCTAACACGGACTGTATACAGATGCTAATGCTAACACAGACTGTATACAGATGCTAATGCTAACACAGACTGTATACAGATGCTAATGCTAACACAGACTGTATACAGATGCTAATGCTAACACAGACTGTATAAAGATGCTAATGCTAACACAGACTGTATACAGATGCTAATGCTAACACAGACTGTATACAGATGCTAATGCTAACACAGACTGTATACAGATGCTAATGCTAACACAGACTGTATACAGATGCTAATGCTAACACAGACTGTATACAGATGCTAATGCTAACACAGACTGTATACAGATGCTAATGCTAACACAGACTGTATACAGATGCTAATGCTAACACAGACTGTATACAGATGCTAATGCTAACACAGACTGTATACAGATGCTAATGCTAACACAGACTGTATACAGATGCTAATGCTAACACAGACTGTATACAGATGCTAATGCTAACACAGACTGTATACAGATGCTAATGCTAACACAGACTGTATACAGATGCTAATGCTAACACAGACTGTATACAGATGCTAATGCTAACACAGACTGTATACAGATGCTAATGCTAGCACAGACTGTATACAGATGCTAATGCTAACACAGACTGTATACAGATGCTAATGCTAACACAGACTGTATACAGATGCTAATGCTAACACAGACTGTATACAGATGCTAATGCTAACACAGACTGTATACAGATGCTAATGCTAACACAGACTGTATACAGATGCTAATGCTAGCACAGACTGTATACAGATGCTAATGCTAACACAGACTGTATACAGATGCTAATGCTAACACAGACTGTATACAGATGCTAATGCTAACACAGACTGTATACAGATGCTAATGCTAACACAGACTGTATACAGATGCTAATGCTAGCACAGACTGTATACAGATGCTAATGCTAACACAGACTGTATACAGATGCTAATGCTAACACAGACTGTATACAGATGCTAATGCTAACACAGACTGTATACAGATGCTAATGCTAACACAGACTGTATACAGATGCTAATGCTAACACAGACTGTATACAGATGCTAATGCTAACACAGACTGTATACAGATGCTAATGCTAGCACAGACTGTATACAGATGCTAATGCTAACACAGACTGTATACAGATAGACAATGCTAACACAGACTGTATACAGATGCTAATGCTAACACAGACTGTATACAGATGCTAATGCTAACACAGACTGTATACAGATGCTAATGCTAACACAGACTGTATACAGATGCTAATGCTAACACAGACTGTATACAGATGCTAATGCTAACACAGACTGTATACAGATGCTAATGCTAACACAGACTGTATACAGATGCTAATGCTAACACAGACTGTATACAGATGCTAATGCTAACACAGACTGTATACAGATAGACAATGCTAACACAGACTGTATACAGATGCTAATGCTAGCACAGACTGTATACAGATGCTAATGCTAACACAGACTGTATACAGATGCTAATGCTAGCACAGACTGTATACAGATGCTAATGCTAACACAGACTGTATACAGATGCTAATGCTAACACAGACTGTATACAGATGCTAATGCTAGCACAGACTGTATACAGATGCTAATGCTAACACAGACTGTATACAGATGCTAATGCTAACACAGACTGTATACAGATAGACAATGCTAACACAGACTGTATACAGATGCTAATGCTAACACAGACTGTATACAGATGCTAATGCTAACACAGACTGTATACAGATGCTAATGCTAACACAGACTGTAAACAGATGCTAATGCTAACACAGACTGTATACAGATGCTAATGCTAACACAGACTGTATACAGATGCTAATGCTAACACAGACTGTATACAGATGCTAATGCTAACACAGACTGTATACAGATGCTAATGCTAACACAGACTGTATACAGATGCTAATGCTAGCACAGACTGTATACAGATAGACAATGCTAACACAGACTGTATACAGATGCTAATGCTAACACAGACTGTATACAGATGCTAATGCTAACACAGACTGTATACAGATGCTAATGCTAACACAGACTGTATACAGATGCTAATGCTAACACAGACTGTATACAGATAGACAATGCTAACACAGACTGTATACAGATGCTAATGCTAACACAGACTGTATACAGATAGACAATGCTAACACAGACTGTATACAGATAGACAATGCTAACACAGACTGTATACAGATGCTAATGCTAACACACACTGTATACAGATGCTAATGCTAACACAGACTGTATACAGATAGACAATGCTAACACAGACTGTATACAGATAGACAATGCTAACACAGACTGTATACAGATGCTAATGCTAACACAGACTGTATACAGATGCTAATGCTAACACACACTGTATACAGATGCTAATGCTAACACAGACTGTATACAGATAGACAATGCTAACACAGACTGTATACAGATAGACAATGCTAACACAGACTGTATACAGATAGACAATGCTAACACAGACTGTATACAGATGCTAATGCTAACACAGACTGTATACAGATAGACAATGCTAACACAGACTGTATACAGATAGACAATGCTAACACAGACTGTATACAGATAGACAATGCTAACACAGACTGTATACAGATGGACAATGCTAACACAGACTGTATACAGATGCTAATGCTAACACAGACTGTATACAGATGCTAATGCTAACACAGACTGTATACAGATGGACAATGCTAACACAGACTGTATACAGATGCTAATGCTAACACAAACTGTAAACAGATGCTAATGCTAACACAAACTGTAAACAGATGGACAAAGCAGCACGTTAGCTCAATGAAGCCCTATAGGGAAGCGCTCATGGTGAAGTTTGGCAGAGTCCTGGAGTCTGACCCTGGTGTTTGGTTCCAGTTCCGGTACATGAAGGGCTTCGTGGGCAACGTGATGCAGCTCAGTAACCTCCCGGAGCTGGACCCTGAGGACCCCTACACCCAACAAGAGCTGGTGGACATCCTCACACCGTTTGGGTTCATCCACGAGTTCAACAGCATCTACATCCTCCCCCAGTGCAGAATGGTACGTCCCACCTGCCTCCTCCCCCAGTGCAGAATGGTACACCCCACCTGCCTCCTCCCCCAGTGCAGAATGGTATGTCCCACCTGTCTCCTCCCCCAGTGCAGAATGGTACGTCCCACCTGCCTCCTCCCCCAGTGCAGAATGGTACATTCCACCTGCCTCCTCCCTTAGTGCAGAATGGTATGTCCCACCTGTCTCCTCCCCCAGTGCAGAATGGTACGTCCCACCTGCCTCCTCCCCCAGTGTAGAATGGTACGTCCCACCTGCCTCCTCCCGCAGTGCAGAATGGTACGTCCCACCTGCCTCCTCCCCCAGTGCAGAATGGTACGTCCCACCTGTCTCCTCCCCCAGGGCAGAATGATATGTCCCACCTGTCTCCTCCCCCAGTGCAGAATTTTATGTCCCACCTGTCTCCTCCCCAGTGCAGAATGGTACGTCCCACCTGTCTCCTGCCCCAGTGCAGAATGGTATGTCCCACCTGTCTCCCTCCCCCAGTGCAGAATGATACGTCCCACCTGTCTCCTCCCCCAGTGCAGAATGATACGTCCCACCTGTCTCCTCCCGCAGTGCAGAATGGTATGTCCCACCTGTCTCCTCCCCCAGTGCAGAATGGTACGTCCCACCTGTCTCCTCCCCCAGTGCAGAATGATACGTCCCACCTGTCTCCTCCCCCAGTGCAGAATGGTATGTCCCACCTGTCTCCTCCCCCAGTGCAGAATGGTACGTCCCACCTATCTCCTCCCCCAGTGCAGAATGGTACGTCCCACCTGCCTCCTCCCACAGTGCAGAATGGTACGTCCCACCTGCCTCCTCCCCCAGTGTAGAATGGTACGTCCCACCTGCCTCCTCCCGCAGTGCAGAATGGTACGTCCCACCTGCCTCCTCCCCCAGTGCAGAATGCTATGTCCCACCTGTCTCCTCCCCAGTGCAGAATGGTACGTCCCACCTGTCTCCTGCCCCAGTGCAGAATGGTATGTCCCACCTGTCTCCTCCCCCAGTGCAGAATGGTATGTCCCACCTGTCTCCTCCCCCAGTGCAGAATGGTACATCCCACCTGCCTCCTCCCCCAGTGCAGAATGTTATGTCCCACCTGTCTCCTCCCCCAGTGCAGAATGTTATGTCCCACCTGTCTCCTGCCCCAGTGCAGAATGGTACGTCCCACCTGCCTCCTCCCTTAGTGCAGAATGGTATGTCCCACCTGCCTCCTCCCCCAGTGCAGAATGCTATGTCCCACCTGTCTCCTCCCGCAGTGCAGAATGGTACGTCCCACCTGTCTCCTCCCCCAGTGCAGAATGGTACGTCCCACTTGCCTCCTCTCCCAGTGCAGAATGGTATGTCCCACCTGCCTCCTCCCCCAGTGCAGAAAGTTATGTTCCCACCTGCCTCCTCCCCCAGTGCAGAATGGTACGTCCCACCTGCCTCCTCTCCCTGTGCAGAATGGTACGTCCCACCTGCCTCCTCCCGCAGTGCAGAATGGTATGTCCCACCTGCCTCCTCCCCCAGTGCAGAATGGTATGTCCCACCTGTCTCCTCCCCCAGTGCAGAATGGTACGTCCCACCTGCCTCCTCCCCCAGTGCAGAATGGTACACCCCACCTGCCTCCTCCCTTAGTGCAGAATGGTATGTCCCACCTGCCTCCTCCCCCAGTGCAGAATGGTACGTACCACCTGTCTCCTCCCCCAGTGCAGAATGTTATGTCCCACCTGTCTCCTCCCCCAGTGCAGAATGTTATGTCCCACCTGTCTCCTCCCCAGTGCAGAATGGTACGTCCCACCTGTCTCCTGCCCCAGTGCAGAATGGTATGTCCCACCTGTCTCCTCCCCCAGTGCAGAATGATACGTCCCACCTGTCTCCTCCCCCAGTGCAGAATGATACGTCCCACCTGTCTCCTCCCGCAGTGCAGAATGGTACGTCCCACCTGTCTCCTCCCCCAGTGCAGAATGATACGTCCCACCTGTCTCCTCCCCCAGTGCAGAATGGTACGTCCCACCTGTCTCCTCCCCCAGTGCAGAATGGTACGTCCCACCTATCTCCTCCCCCAGTGCAGAATGGTACGTCCCACCTGCCTCCTCCCGCAGTGCAGAATGGTACGTCCCACCTGCCTCCTCCCCCAGTGTAGAATGGTACGTCCCCACCTGCCTCCTCCCGCAGTGCAGAATGGTACGTCCCACCTGCCTCCTGCCCCAGTGCAGAATGGTATGTCCCACCTGTCTCCTCCCCCAGTGCAGAATGGTATGTCCCACCTGTCTCCTCCCCCAGTGCAGAATGGTACATCCCACCTGCCTCCTCCCCCAGTGCAGAATGTTATGTCCCACCTGTCTCCTCCCCCAGTGCAGAATGGTACGTCCCACTTGCCTCCTCTCCCAGTGCAGAATGGTATGTCCCACCTGCCTCCTCCCCCAGTGCAGAATGGTACGTCCCACCTGCCTCCTCTCCCTGTGCAGAATGGTACGTCCCACCTGCCTCTTCCCGCAGTGCAGAATGGTATGTCCCACCTGCCTCCTCCCCCAGTGCAGAATGGTATGTCCCACCTGTCTCCTCCCCCAGTGCAGAATGGTACGTCCCACCTGCCTCCTCCCCCAGTGCAGAATGGTACACCCCACCTGCCTCCTCCCTTAGTGCAGAATGGTATGTCCCACCTGCCTCCTCCCCCAGTGCAGAATGGTACGTACCACCTGTCTCCTCCCCCAGTGCAGAATGTTATGTCCCACCTGTCTCCTCCCCCAGTGCAGAATGTTATGTCCCACCTGTCTCCTCCCCCAGTGCAGAATGTTATGTCCCACCTGTCTCCTCCCCCAGTGCAGAATGTTATGTCCCACCTGTCTCCTGCCCCAGTGCAGAATGGTACGTCCCACCTGCCTCCTCCCTTAGTGCAGAATGGTATGTCCCACCTGCCTCCTCCCCCAGTGCAGAATGTTATGTCCCACCTGTCTCCTCCCCCAGTGCAGAATGGTACGTCCCACCTGTCTCCTCCCCCCAGTGCAGAATGGTACACCCCACCTGCCTCCTCCCTTAGTGCAGAATGGTATGTCCCACCTGCCTCCTCCCCCAGTGCAGAATGGTACGTCCCACCTGCCTCCTCCCCCAGTGCAGAATGATATGTTCCCACCTGCCTCCTCCCCCAGTGCAGAATGGTACGTCCCACCTGCCTCCTCTCCCTGTGCAGAATGGTACGTCCCACCTGCCTCCTCCCGCAGTGCAGAATGGTATGTCCCACCTGCCTCCTCCCGCAGTGCAGAATGGTATGTCCCACCTGTCTCCTCCCCCAGTGCAGAATGGTACGTCGCACCTGCCTCCTCCCCCAGTGACGCACTTGTCTCCTCCCCAGTGCAGAATGATATGTCCCACCTGCCTCCTCCCCCAGTGCAGAATGGTACGTCCCACCTGCCTCCTCCCCCAGTGCAGAATGATACGTCCCACCTGTCTCCTCCCCAGTGCAGAATGATATGTCCCACCTGTCTCCTCCCCCTGTGCAGAATGATATGTCCCACCTGTCTCCTCCCCCAGTGCAGAATGGTACGTCCCACCTGTCTCCTCCCCCAGTGCAGAATGGTATGTCCCACCTTGTCTCCTCCCCAGTGCAGAATGATATGTCCCACCTGTCTCCTCCCCCAGTGCAGAATGGTATGTCCCACCTGTCTCCTCCCCCAGTGCAGAATGGTACGTCCCACCTGCCTCCTCCCCCAGTGACGCACCTGCCTCCTCCCCCAGTGCAGAATGCTATGTCCCACCTGTCTCCTCCCCCAGTGCAGAATGTTATGTCCCACCTGTCTCCTCCCCCAGTGCAGAATGGTACGTCCCACCTGCCTCCTCTCCCAGTGCAGAATGGTATGTCCCACCTGCCTCCTCCCCCAGTGCAGAATGGTATGTTCCCACCTGCCTCCTCCCCCAGTGCAGAATGGTACGTCCCACCTGTCTCCTCCCCAGTGCAGAATGGTACGTCCCACCTGCCTCCTCCCGCAGTGCAGAATGGTACGTCCCACCTGCCTCCTCCCGCAGTGCAGAATGGTATGTCCCACCTGCCTCCTCTCCCTGTGCAGAATGTACGTCCCACCTGCCTCCTCCCGCAGTGCAGAATGGTATGTCCCACCTGCCTCCTCCCCCAGTGCAGAATGGTATGTCCCACCTGCCTCCTCCCCCAAGGTAGAATGGTACCTCCCACCACCCATTGCAGATCTCTGACAGCTGTATTCAAGGCTTTGATCCTGATGCTTTGATCTCGGACACCTGTATTCCAGGCTTTGATCCTGATGCTTTGATCTCTTACACCTGTATTCCAGGCTTTGATCCTGATGCTTTGATCTCTTACACCTGTATTCCAGACTTTGATCCTGATGCTTTGATCTCGGACACCTGTATTCCAGACTTTGCTCCTGATGCTTTGATCTCTTACACCTGTATTCCAGACTTTGATCCTGATGCTTTGATCTCGGACACCTGTATTCCAGACTTTGCTCCTGATGCTTTGATCTCTTACACCTGTATTCCAGACTTTTGTACTGATGCTTTGATCTCGGACACCTGTATTCCAGACTTTGATCCTGATGCTTTGATCTCTGAAACCTGTATTCCAGGCTTTGATCTCTGACACCTGTATTCTCTTTGATGTCTGTGGCAGGCTTTGATCTCGATGCCGGACCAGATAATGATGAGGAACCTTCTGAAGGAGATGTGCAGCGTCCAGCAGATCATGTTCAGAGGTCGACAGCTGCAGCCGCGCATCATCACCAACAAGTTCTCCTTCGCCCCAGTAAGACACACCATCAACAGACACCAGAGTTGGTACCAAGTTGGTGTGTGTGTGTGTATATACATACATACATACAGTGCCTTGCGAAAGTATATACCTTTCAACATTTCGCCACATTTCAGGCTTCAAACATAAAGATATAAAAATTTAATTTTTTGTCATGAATCAACAAGTGGGACACAATCGTGAAGTGGAACAAAATTTATTGGATAATTTAAACTTTTTTAACAAATACAAAACTGAAAAGTGGGGCGTGCAATATTATTGGGCCCCTTTACTTTCAGTGCAGCAAACTCACTCCAGAAGTTCAGTGAGTCCTAAATGACTGATGATGATAAATAGAATGTACCTGTGTGTAATCAAGTCTCCGTATAAATGCACCTGCTCTTTGATAGTCTCAGGGTTCTGTTTAAAGCGCAGAGAGAACCATGAAGACAAAGGAACACACCAGGCAGGTCCGAGATACTGTTGTGGAGAAGTTTAAAGCCGGATTTGGATACAAAAAGATTTCCCAAGCTTTAAACATCCCAAGGAGCACTGTGCAAGCAGTTATATTGAAATGGAAGGAGTATCAGACCACTGCAAATCTACCAAGACCCGGCCGTCCCTCCAAACTTTCATCTCAAACAAGGAGAAGACTGATCAGAGATGCAGCCAAGAGGCCCATGATCACTCTGGATGAACTGCAGATAACTACAGCTGAGGTGGGAGAGTCTGTCCATAGGACAACAATCAGTCGTGCACTGCACAAATCTGGCCTTTATGGAAGAATCCATTTCTCAAAGATATCCATAAAAAATCTGGTTTAAAGTTTTCCACAAGCCACCTGGGAGACACACCAAACATGTGGAAGAAGGTGCTCTGGTCAGAGGAAACCAAAATCAAACCTTTTGGCCACAATGCAAAACGATATGTTTGGCGTAAAAGCAACACAGCTCATCACCCTGAACACACCATCCCCACTGTCAAACATGGTGGTGGCAGCATCATGCTTTGGGCCTGCTTTTCTTCAGCAGGGACAGGGAAGATGGCTAAAATTGATGGGAAGGTGGATGGAGCCAAATACAGGACCATTCTGGAAGAAAACCTGTTGGAGTCTGCAAAAGACCTGAGACTGGGACGGAGATTTATCTTCCGACAGGACAATGATCCAAAACATAAAGCCAAATCTACAATGGAATGGTTCACAAATAGACGTATCCAGGTGTTAGAATGGCCAAGTCAAAGTCCAGACCTGAATCCAATCGAAAATCTGTGGAAAGAGCTGAAGACTGCTGTTCACAAACGCTCTCCATCCAACCTCACTGAGCTCCAGCTGTTTTGCAAGGAAGAATGGGCAAGAATTCCAGTCTCTCGATGTGCAAAACTGATAGAGACATACCCCAAGCGAGTTGCAGCTGTAATTGCAGCAAAAGGTGGCGCTACAAAGTATTAGCACAAGGGGCCGAATAATATTGCACGCCCCACTTTTCAGTTTTTTATTTGTTAAAAAAGTTTAAATTATCCAATACATTTCGCTCCACTTCACGATTGTGTCCCACTTGTTGTTGATTCTTGACAAAAAATTAAATTTTTATATCTTTATGTTTGAAGCCTGAAATGTGGCGAAATGTTGAAAGGTTCAAGGGGGCCGAATACTTACGCATACGTACACGCATAGATACATACAGCACTGTATGAAAAGTGTGGATAATGTTCATACTGTTGTCTTTCAGCTGGAGTTCTACAAGTTCTTGAAGCACTTGTGCTACTCAATTGTAAGTGTGTGCGTCTGTCTGTGTGTGTGTGTGTGTCTGTGTGTGTCTGTCTGTGTGTGTGTGTGTGTCTGTCTGTGCGTCTGTGTGTGTGCGCGTCTGTGAGTGAGAACCCCCAACAAGCTCGAAATAACAGGAATCCAAATAATAAATCTGAATATTTTCCAGTTAACTGTTTAAAGCTCCAATAGAGGTTTTGCACCATGTGACCTTCATAGCAACCGTTACTACGCCGCCATTTTAGATGGCATTGTATGGACCTCTGCTCTCACACTGTACAGAGCACCCTTTACTCAGACAGGTCTAATGCCGTTCTACTGCCGACAGACGCTGTCACAGCGTTCGTCTAAACAAGTGAGAAGAGAACGTTTCTCCTGCTCCTTCCTGCTCCTTTGCAGATGTGTCCCAGACTCTCCCACCGCCTTTTGCAAACTTCCACTGAATAAACACATCCACTTGTAAGCGGGACAGTTCTAGTCGTTTTTTGAACATTACAGATTTTTCTCGGGGAAATATTTACTGTGAAAAGTCTAAATAACACATAGTCCACGGGGTTCTAGTGTTCTATAACATGTTCTATAACATGTTCTATAACATGTTCTATAACATGTTCTAGAACATGTTATAGAACATGTTCTACAGCTCTGAACACGGACACTCAGCTTGTCCTAGAACAGATCCATGTGTCCTCATGGTCTGTTGTCTTCCTGGTCGTGAAATGTGTCACTATGTCACTGTTGGAGAAGGCTCCTGATTGGTGGACGCTCACAAATGTCTACAAAAACTTTTTAAACTCTAGCATCGGCCGCGTTGTTCTGCTTGTGTGTACATGTGTGCACATGTGTGTTCTGCTTGTGTGTACATGTGTGCACATGTGTGTTCTGCTTGTGTGTACATGTGTGCACATGTGTGTTCTGCTTGTGTGTACATGTGTGCACATGTGTGTTCTGCTTGTGTGTACATGTGTGCACATGTGTGTTCTGCTTGTGTGTACATGTGTGCACATGTGTGTTCTGCTTGTGTGTACATGTGTGCACATGTGTGTTCTGCTTGTGTGTACTTGTGTGTACATGTGTGTTCTGCTTGTGTGTACTTGTGTGTACTTGTGTGTTCTGCTTGTGTGTACTTGTGTGTACATGTGTGTTCTGCTTGTGTGTACTTGTGTGTACATGTGTGCACATGTGTGTTCTGCTTGTGTGTACTTGTGTGTACATGTGTGTTCTGCTTGTGTGTACTTGTGTGTACATGTGTGTTCTGCTTGTGTGTACTTGTGTGTACTTGTGTGTACATGTGTGTTCTGCTTGTGTGTACTTGTGTGTACATGTGTGTTCTGCTTGTGTGTACTTGTGTGTACTTGTGTGTACATGTGTGTTCTGCTTGTGTGTACTTGTGTGTACATGTGTGTTCTGCTTGTGTGTACTTGTGTGTACATGTGTGTTCTGCTTGTGTGCAGAGCGGTGTGAAAAGCTTCACGGCCCCTGACAAAATGTTCTACTTCTCGGACATTTCACACAACGACCAGAAGCGTCTGGAGGAGAGGATCGCTGCTATCGGCAACGTCACGGACTACCTCCCTCTGGTCAACAAGGTCACACAACTGAACATACACTGACACACAACTGAACATACACTGACACACAACTGAACATACACTGACACACAACTGAACGAGGGTTCATGGGAGTTCGCCCAACCTGTCCACATGTGCTTTGTGGATTTGGAGAAGGCGTTCCACTGTGTCCCCCGGGGTGTCCTTTGGGGGGAGCCAGAGCTGTGTTCGCATTGCCGGCAGTAAGTCAGACCTGTTCCCGGTGAATGTTGGCCTCCGCCAGGGCTGCCCTTTGTCACCGGTTCTGTTCACTGTATTTATGGACAGAATCTCTAGGCGCGCAGCCAGGGGTCGGAGGGGGTCCGGTTCGGGGACCACAGGATTTCATCTCTGCTGTTTGCGGACGATGTCGTCCTGTTGGCTCCAACGAACCAGGACCTGCAACATGCACTGGGACGGTTTGCAGCCGAGTGTGAAGCGGCTGGGATGAGAATCAGCACCTCCAAATCTGAGGCCATGGTGCTCGACCGGAAAAAGGTGCTTTGCCCTCTTCAGGTGGGTGGAGAGGTCCTTCCTCAAGTGGAGGAGTTCAAGTATCTCGGGGTCTTGTTCACGAGTGAGGGAAGAATGGAGCGTGAGATTGACAGGCGGATCGGTGCAGCGTGCGCAGTGATGCGGTCGCTGTATCGGACCGTTGTGGTAAAGAGGGAGCAGCGTCTGCAGTCAGAGCTGTATCGGACCGTTGTGGTAAAGAGGGAGCTGAGCCGAAAGGCAAAGCTCTCAATTTACCGGTCAATCTTCGTTCCCTCCCTCACCTATGGTCATGAGCTTTGGGTAATGACCGAAAGAACGAGATCGCGGATACAAGCGGTCGAAATGAGCTTCCTCCGCAGAGTGGCTGGGCGCTCCCTTAGAGATAGGGTGAGGAGCTCAGTCACACGGGAGGAGCTCGGAGTAGAGCCGCTGCTTCTCCACGTCGAGAGGAACCAGTTGAGGTGGCTCGGGCATCTGTTCCGGATGCCTCCTGGACGCCTTCCTGGGGAGGTGTTCCGGGCACGTCCCACCGGGAGGAGGCCCCGGGGAAGACCCAGGACCCGCTGGAGGGACTATGTCTCTCAGCTGGCCTGGGAACGCCTTGGGGTCCCCCCGGACGAGCTGGAGGAAGTGTGTGTGGATAGGGAAGTCTGGGCGTCTCTGTTTAGACTGCTGCCCCCGCGACCCGGCAACGGATAAAGCGGAAGAAAATGGATGGATGGATGGACAACTGAACATACACGGACACACAACTGAACATACAGTGACACACAACTGAAACTACAGCGACACACAACTGAACCTACAGCGTCACACAACTGAACCTACAGCGTCACAAAACTGAACCTACAGCGTCACACAACTGAGTCTACAGCGCCACACAACTGAGTCTACAGCGCCACACAACTGAGTCTACAGCGCCACACAACTGAGTCTACAGCGCCACACAACTGAGTCTACAGCGCCACACAACTGAGTCTACAGCGCCACACAACTGAGTCTACAGCGCCACACAACTGAGTCTACAGCGCCACACAACTGAGTCTACAGCGCCACACAACTGAACCTACAGCGACACACAACTGAACCTACAGCGTCACAAAACTGAACCTACAGCGACACACAACTGAACCTACAGCGTCACACAACTGAACCTACAGCGTCACAGCGTCACACAACTGAACCCTACAGCGTCACACAACTGAACCCTACAGCGTCACACAACTGAACCTACAGCGTCACACAACTAAACCTACACTGTCACACAACTGAACCTACAGCGTCACACAACTGAACCTACAGCGTCACACAACTGAACCTACAGCGTCACACAACTGAACCTACAGCGTCACACAACTGAACCCTACAGCGTCACACAACTGAACCCTACAGCGTCACACAACTGAACCTACAGCGTCACACAACTGATACTACAGCGTCACACAGCTGAACCTACAGCGTCACACAGCTGAACATACACTGACACACAACTGAACCTACAGCGACACACAACTGAAAACACAGCGTCACACAACTGAACCTACAGCACCACACAACTGAACCTACAGCGCCACACAACTGAACCTACAGCGTCACACAACTGAACATACAGCGTCACACAACTGAACATACACTGACACACAACTGAACATACACTGACACACAACTGAGTCTACACTGTCACACAACTGAACATACACTGACACACAACTGAACCTACAGCGACACACAACTGAAAACACAGCGTCACACAACTGAACCTACAGCGTCACACAACTGAACATACACTGACACACAACTGAACATACACTGACACACAACTGAACCTACAGCGTCACACAACTGAAAACACAGTGTCACACAACTGAACCTACACTGACACTGAATCTTGTACTGGTCTGTGGTACTGGTCTGTGGTACTGGTCTGTGGTACTGGTCTGTGGTACTGGTCTGTGGTACTGGTCTGTGGTACTGGTCTGTGGTACTGGTCTGTGGTACTGGTCTGTGGTACTGGTCTGTGGTACTGGTCTGTGGTACGGGTCTGTGGTACTGGTCTGTGGTACTGGTCTGTGGTACTGGTTTGTACTGTGACTGTATGAGTTGACGTGTGGTGTGTGGTTCTTGGCAGGTGTTTGTGGAGTTCGAGACGCACCAGGCGGCGGATGCTCTGGGCGTTTACCACAGTCTCCTTAAAACACCGTGTTCGTATCGGCTCTTCAGGATGATGCCCCCCCCCGGGCAGCCCTGCCTCCTGGGTAAGTCTGCCCCAGGCCCATACTGTACACAGATGGACAATGCTAACCTGCTAGCTCAATGCTAAAATAGACTGTTTGCAGATGGACAATGCTAATCTGCTAACTCAATGCTAATATAGACAGTTTACAGATGGACAATGCTAACTTGCTAACTCAATGCTAATATAGACAGTTTACAGATGAACAATGCTAACTTGCTATCTCAATGCTAATACAGACTGTTTACTGATGCTGCTCCCTCCAGTGGCTGTAGAGAAGGGGAAAATGATCCTGGACTGGGCTTAACACTAGAACTCTTAGAGCAGTCAAATTGACGGGTTTAGTTTTTGATACAGTCTCATGAACCCCGACACAGTCTCATGACACAGTCTCATGAACCCCGACACAGTCTCATGACACAGTCTCATGAACCCCGACACAGTCTCATGAATCCCGGCACAGTCTCATGACACAGTCTCATGAATCCCGACACAGTCTCATGACACAGTCTCATGAATCCCGACACAGTCTCATGAACCCCGACACAGTCTCATGAAGCCCGACACAGTCTCATGAAGCCCGACACAGTCTCATGAAGCCCGACACAGTCTCATGAAGCCCGACACAGTCTCATGAACCCCGACAGTCTCATGAACCACGACAGTCTCATGAACCCCGACACAGTCTCATGAACCCCGACACAGTCTCATGAAGCCCGACAGTCTCATGACGCCCGACAGTCTCATGAAGCCCGACACAGTCTCATGAACCACGACAGTCTCATGAACCCCGACACAGTCTCATGACAGTCTCATGAACCCCGACACAGTCTCATGAAGCCCGACAGTCTCATGACGCCCGACAGTCTCATGAAGCCCGACACAGTCTCATGAACCCCGACACAGTCTCATGAAGCCCGACAGTCTCATGACGCCCGACAGTCTCATGAAGCCCGACACAGTCTCATGAACCACGACAGTCTCATGAACCCCGACACAGTCTCATGACAGTCTCATGAACCCCGACACAGTCTCATGAAGCCCGACAGTCTCATGACGCCCGACAGTCTCATGAAGCCTGACACAGTCTCATGAAGCCCGACACAGTCTCATGAAGCCCGACAGTCTCATGAAGCCCGACACAGTCTCATGAAGCCCGACAGTCTCATGAAGCCCGACAGTCTCATGAAGCCCGACACAGTCTCATGAACCCCGACACAGTCTCATTTATCCATTTCAGTTTAATGTATTTGTGAATCGCCCGTACAGCAGTTGTCTCAGAGGACTTGTCGATTGGCCAACACAGATCAGAGAAAGTCCATAAATGTGAGAATACGAAGTGTCCTGGATCAGCATTTTATAATTTAACCTCCAGAGCAGTTTTCCACCAGAGAAGGGTTTGTTACCACGGCAACACTCTGTAAGCGGTGAGCATTAGCCGCTCAACAAACTGTTTTGCGGTGAATAAGTTACTGGTGTTTACTGGTGAATAAGTTATATTCACCAGTTTTAGCTCTTCTTAAAATTGAGTAAAGGTAAAAAATAAGTGTTGTGAAGTTAACAGCCTGAACCGCTCTCACTCGAGTCAGACTTTAACAATCCAGATGAAGCACTCAGCACACTGAGCCTTTCTTTGGTGGCTGAGCTCACACCAGGTTGTAGCGCTGACATCTAGTGGACAAATGTAATCATTGCAGCTTCTGAAGCACAATTTCACCATGAAACATAAATGTAGATGACTCTTGTTTGTAAAAATAATTTGAGACCATTCCTTGTTTGGTTGAATAAGATACAAACAGATCCATGGTTTGTATATTTGTTCATGCTCCTCCTACTTCCCCCAGAATGCTTCTGGCTCGTTTACTCTTCTTGTTTTTTAGTAAAATGAGATTCTGTGGACACCTTTTATCCATTGACATTGATCACCTATCGCGATATATATCGTTATAGTTTTATCAGCCAGCCCAAGTACACAGTACAGACCAAAAGTTTGGACACACCCACCCATGTCACGAGTTTTTTTATCTTCATGACTATCAAAATGGTAGATTCACACTGAAGGCCTCAAACCTATGAATTATGTACGTAAAAAAAATATGAACCAAGTGAAAACTTGTTATATTCTGGTTCTTCAAAGTAGCTCCTTTTGCTCTGATACTGTTTCACTCTTGGCATTCTCTGGATGAGCTTCAACAGGACCTGAAATGGTCTTCAACAGTCTGGAAGGAGTTCCCATGATGCTTAGCACTTGTTGGCCCCTTCACTCTGTGGTCCAGCCCCAAAACCATCTGGACTGGGTTCAGGTCCGGTGACTGTGGAGGTCATGTGGCCCAGCACCATCTCTCTCCTTATTGGTCAAACAGCCCTTACACAGCCTGGTGTGAATCTACAGCAATAGTCATGAAAAGAACTCAGTGAAGGAGAGAGGGTGTCCACACTTTTGGTCTCTACTGTAGATTACCAATGAATAAAAATTTTTTTATAATTCCATTGGTTGGAATAGGAGCAGTCAAAATGACTGGTCTGCTCTGTCTGCAGACCGGAAAACGGCGATGTCTGCGCTGCCGGCCGCCTCTGAGATCCTCCCTGGAGTCACAATGCCGACCTGGAAGCAGCTTCCAAAGAATCACAGTGGGCCTTTCTGGGTCACCATGAACACAGAGCCCTTCTTCTTCCCCACACTCACGCCCTGGTTCAGCATCCCAGGTAACCCCCTCCAGACTCACACAACTGAACCTACAGCGTCACACAACTGAACCTACAGGGTCACACAACTGAACCTACAGGGTCACACAACTGAACCTACAGGGTCACACAACTGAACCTACAGGGTCACACAACTGAACCTACAGCGTCACACAACTGAACCTACAGGGTCACACAACTGAACCTACAGGGTCACACAACTGAACCTACAGCGTCACACAACTGAACCTACAGGGTCACACAACTGAACCTACAGGGTCACACAACTGAACCTACAGCGTCACACAACTGAACCTACAGGGTCACACAACTGAACCTACAGGGTCACACAACTGAACCTACAGGGTCACACAACTGAACCTACAGCGTCACACAACTGAACCTACAGCGACACACAACTGAACCTACAGCGTCACACAACTGAACCTACAGCGTCACACAACTGAACCTACAGGGTCACACAACTGAACCTACAGGGTCACACAACTGAACCTACAGGGTCACACAACTGAACCTACAGGGTCACACAACTGAACCTACAGCGTCACACAACTGAACCTACAGGGTCACACAACTGAACCTACAGGGTCACACAACTGAACCTACAGGGTCACACAACTGAACCTACAGCGTCACACAACTGAACCTACAGGGTCACACAACTGAACCCTACAGGGTCACACAACTGAACCTACAGGGTCACACAACTGAACCTACAGCGTCACACAACTGAACCTACAGGGTCACACAACTGAACCTACAGGGTCACACAACTGAACCTACAGCGTCACACAACTGAACCTACAGCGACACACAACTGAACCTACAGGGTCACACAACTGAACCTACAGGGTCACACAACTGAACCTACAGCGTCACACAACTGAACCTACAGGGTCACACAACTGAACCTACAGGGTCACACAACTGAACCTACAGCGTCACACAACTGAACCTACAGGGTCACACAACTGAACCTACAGGGTCACACAACTGAACCTACAGGGTCACACAACTGAACCTACAGCGTCACACAACTGAACCTACAGGGTCACACAACTGAACCTACAGCGTCACACAACTGAACCTACAGAGTCACACAACTGAACCTACAGGGTCACACAACTGAACCTACAGCGTCACACAACTGAACCTACAGGGTCACACAACTGAACCTACAGGGTCACACAACTGAACCTACAGGGTCACACAACTGAACCTACAGCGTCACACAACTGAACCTACAGGGTCACACAACTGAACCTACAGCGTCACACAACTGAACCTACAGCGTCACACAACTGAACCTACAGCGTCACACAACTGAACCTACAGCGTCACACAACTGAACCTACAGGGTCACACAACTGAACCTACAGGGTCACACAACTGAACCTACAGGGTCACACAACTGAACCTACAGGTCACACAACAACCTACACTGAACCTACAGGGTCACACAACTGAACCTACAGGGTCACACAACTGAACCTACAGGGTCACACAACTGAACCTACAGGGTCACACAACTGAACCTACAGCGTCACACAACTGAACCTACAGCGTCACACAACTGAACCTACAGCGTCACACAACTGAACCTACAGGGTCACACAACTGAACCTACAGGGTCACACAACTGAACCTACAGGGTCACACAACTGAACCTACAGCGTCACAAAACTGAACCTACAGGGTCACACAACTGAACCTACAGGGTCACACAACTGAACCTACAGGGTCACACAACTGAACCTACAGCGTCACACAACTGAACCTACAGGGTCACACAACTGAACCTACAGCGTCACACAACTGAACCTACAGCGTCACACAACTGAACCTACAGCGTCACACAACTGAACCTACAGCGTCACACAACTGAACCTACAGCGTCACACAACTGAACCTACAGGGTCACACAACTGAACCTAAAGGGTCACACAACTGAACCTACAGCGTCACACAACTGAACCTACAGCGTCACACAACTGAACCTACAGGGTCACACAACTGAACCTACAGCGTCACACAACTGAACCTACAGCGTCACACAACTGAACCTACAGCGTCACACAACTGAACCTACAGCGTCACACAACTGAACATACTGTCACACAACATGAGACTGTGTAAGCTAACAGTGTGTTGTATATGTGTAAGCTAACAGTGTGTTGTATATGTGTAAGCTAAAAGTGTGTTGTATATGTGTAAGCTAACAGTGTGTTGTATATGTGTAAGCTAAAAGTGTGTTGTATATGTGTAAGCTAACAGTGTGTTGTATATGTGTAAGCTAAAAGTGTGTTGTATATGTGTAAGCTAACAGTGTGTTGTATATGTGTAAGCTAACAGAATGTGTCATGTGTGTTCTGCAGATCATGAGGTCATAGGGCCGTCCATAAAAGCACTGGTAAGTTCATACTGAGGCCTTTTAATCAATGGTGGTACTGGGGGCGTGATCTGGGGTGGTGGGCGTAGCCTTTTGGTTTAGGGGCGTGGTCTTGGGGTGGAGGGGAGTGGCCTCTGGGTGATGAGGCGTGGCCTTGGGTTGGTGGGGCGTGGCCAGGCCTGTCCCGATGACACATTTTCCTTGACAATTATTTGTCCCAAATATTTTTGCGATTACGCTGCTATTGCAATACTTTCTAAAACGGTCATTTTGAGGCTTTTTCCACCTAATAAGGCGCGTTCAGACCGGACTTAACTTCGACTTCAAGCGTCAGGTTTGCATTGAAAGTGAATGGTGAAGCGTGTCAGGTGAAGCCGAGAGCCCCGGCGTCAAAAGCTTCAAAAGTCGCGAGTATTACGCGCTCACTTGAAGCTTTTGACGCGCGAAACGCTCGCGTATCAAAACAATCCCTCTGACGCCGAAGCTGAGCCAAGCTGAGCTTTTGAAGCTTTGACGCGGGCTTCAACCAATCAGGAGACGAGGAGCAGCAGCAGCAGAGGGTCTGTCTCTGTCATGGAGAGAAGTCATGTATCTGCTGCTGCTGTTTTATTGTCATTATTGTTATTAGTAATATTATTTGTATGAGTAGTAACGTTCTTTATAAGTGAGTAACAAAACCATTGTACACATGCTGTGAATTAAACGTAATTTATTTAATATAAGAAGCTCTCTGGAAAATCCCTCGCTGTCCTGACTACAGGCAACAGAAGCTCCTCCCACCGGCAACAGAGAAGATCCTCCCACCGGCGTCAGGCGCGTCACTCGCGTCAAAAGCTTGAAGCACCAAAATGACAAAACTATCCCGGCGTCAGTTGAAGCGCGTCAAAAGCTTTTTGAAGCTTTAGGTCTGAACGCACCTATAAAGGCCAAAAGACCAAACTTTTACTTCTTAAAACATTTAACTGTTCTGGAAGACATTCAAACTAAGTTAGTTTTCAGTGGTCCTTGAGTCACCGGGGTCAGAACGCATCAGAGGACGTAGAATCTTAGCTTAGTTTGTACAACACACGAGGAAACCGTTGTTCTGTGGCTCATGACTAAGAACACACTTGCACAAATGATCAAGGCAGTCTTACCACCTCAATATATTTATCATAACAACCCTAGGAGTGGCCTGTGGGGGCGTGGCCTATGGGGGGTGGAGGGGGTGTCTTTGGGGTGGGGGCGTGGCCTCTGGGGGTGGGTGGCGTGGCGTTGAGAGAAAGACCAGAGAGGAAGACAACAATGTGAAACTCGCCCTCTTTGGAGTGTGTGTCTGTGTGTGTGTGTGTGTGTCTGTCTGTCTGTGTGTAATTGTGTGTGTGTGTTTGTGTCTGTCTGTCTGTGTGTGTGTCTGTGTCTGTCTGTGTCTGTGTGTGTGTGTCTGTCTCTGTGTGTGTGTGTGTGTGTGTCTCTGTGTGTGTGTGTCTGTCTCTGTGTGTGTGTGTGTGTGTGTCTCTGTGTGTGTGTGTCTGTGTGTGTCTAACCTCCCTGGTGTCCTCAGCACTCCAGACCATGGGAGCACAGGGCTGTCATGCTCACGTCGTTACCAGTGAAGCGGCTCAGTCACGAGGAGGTGGCTCAGCTGGTGTGGCCTCTGACCCTCAGGACCATGGACTGTCTGTACTACAGCATCACTGTGCTGCCCCTGCAGAGACGGGTACACACACACACACACACACACATATACACCTATACACACACACACACACACATATACACCTATACACACACACACACACACATATACACCTATACACACACACACACACACATATGTTGGAAATGTCCTGGATCATCACTGTACTTACACTCTGCCTCTCTCTCTGTCTCTGTCTCTCTCTGTCTCTGTCTCTCTCTGTCTCTGTCTCTGCCTCTGCCTCTGTCTCTGCCTCTGCCTCTGCCTCTGTCTCTGTCTCTGCCTCTGCCTCTGCCTCTGCCTCTGTCTCTGTCTCTGTCTCTCTCTGTCTCTGTCTCTGCCTCTGCCTCTGTCTCTGCCTCTGCCTCTGCCTCTGTCTCTGCCTCTGCCTCTGCCTCTGCCTCTGTCTCTGTCTCTGTCTCTGCCTCTGCCTCTGTCTCTGTCTCTGTCTCTGCCTCTGCGTCTGTCTCTGTCTCTGTCTCTGCCTCTGCGTCTGTCTCTGTCTCTGTCTCTGTCTCTGCCTCTGCCTCTGTCTCTGTCTCTGCCTCTGTCTCTGTCTCTGCCTCTGCCTCTGTCTCTGTCTCTGTCTCTGCCTCTGCCTCTGTCTCTGTCTCTGCCTCTGCGTCTGTCTCTGTCTCTGCCTCTGTCTCTGCCTCTGCCTCTGCCTCTGTCTCTGCCTCTGCCTCTGCCTCTGCCTCTGCCTCTGCCTCTGTCTCTGCCTCTGTCTCTGTCTCTCTCTCTGTCTCTGTCTCTGCCTCTGCCTCTGCCTCTGCCTCTGTCTCTGTCTCTGCCTCTGTCTCTGTCTCTGCCTCTGCGTCTGTCTCTGTCTCTGCCTCTGTCTCTGTCTCTGCCTCTGCCTCTGCCTCTGTCTCTGTCTCTGCCTCTGCCTCTGTCTCTGTCTCTGCCTCTGTCTCTGTCTCTGTCTCTGTCTCTCTCTGTCTCTGTCTCTGCCTCTGCCTCTGTCTCTGTCTCTGCCTCTGTCTCTGCCTCTGCCTCTGTCTCTGTCTCTGTCTCTGTCTCTCTCTGTCTCTGTCTCTGCCTCTGTCTCTGCCTCTGTCTCTGTCTCTGCCTCTGTCTCTGCCTCTGTCTCTGTCTCTGCCTCTGTCTCTGTCTCTGTCTCTGTCTCTCTCTGTCTCTGCCTCTGTCTCTGCCTCTGTCTCTGTCTCTGCCTCTGCCTCTGCCTCTGCCTCTGTCTCTGCCTCTGCCTCTGCCTCTGCCTCTGTCTCTGTCTCTGTCTCTGCCTCTGCCTCTGTCTCTGTCTCTGTCTCTGCCTCTGCGTCTGTCTCTGTCTCTGTCTCTGCGTCTGTCTCTGTCTCTGTCTCTGTCTCTGTCTCTGCCTCTGTCTCTGTCTCTGTCTCTGCCTCTGTCTCTGTCTCTGCCTCTGTCTCTGTCTCTGTCTCTGCCTCTGCCTCTGCCTCTGTCTCTGTCTCTGTCTCTGTCTCTGTCTCTGCCTCTGCGTCTGTCTCTGTCTCTGCCTCTGCCTCTGTCTCTGCCTCTGCCTCTGCCTCTGCCTCTGCCTCTGCCTCTGCCTCTGTCTCTGTCTCTGTCTCTGCCTCTGCCTCTGCCTCTGTCTCTGTCTCTGCCTCTGCCTCTGTCTCTGTCTCTGTCTGTCTCTCTCTGTCTCTCTCTCTCTGTCTCTGCCTCTGTCTCTGCCTCTGTCTCTGCCTCTGTCTCTGCCTCTGTCTCTGTCTCTGTCTCTGTCTCTGTCTCTGTCTCTGTCTCTGCCTCTGTCTCTGCCTCTGCCTCTGTCTATGTCTCTGTCTCTGTCTCTGCCTCTGTCTCTGCCTCTGTCTCTGTCTCTGTCTCTGTCTCTGCCTCTGTCTCTGTCTCTGCCTCTGCCTCTGCCTCTGCCTCTGTCTCTGTCTCTGCCTCTGTCTCTGTCTCTGTCTCTGCCTCTGTCTCTGTCTCAGGCTTTGATCCAGTTTCCAGACAAAGAAAAGTGTCTGATGTTTGCAGAGAACTATCTGAGAAACCTCTACAGAATCAGAGAATCCTCTGTCAAAGGTGTCATCCTCACCAACCACTGCGTCAAGTACTCAGAGGTACAGACACACACGGGTACAGACACAGGTATAGCCACACACAGGTACAGACACACACAGGTATAGACACACACATGTATAGACACACACATGTATAGACACACACATGTATAGACACACACATGTATAGACACACACATGTATAGACACACACATGTATAGACACACACATGTATAGACACACAGGTACAGACACATGTATAGACACACACATGTATAGACACACAGGTACAGACACATGTATAGACACACACATGTATAGACACACACATGTATAGACACACACATGTATAGACACACAGGTACAGACACATGTATAGACACACACATGTATAGACACACACAGGTACAGACCAGTGGGCGCGGGTCCCAGCTCAAAAGTGGCCAAAATGACGTGCGCTGACATGCTTGCAATACCACCCCGGGCCTGTGGGGGTGGACCCAGAAGAAGAATTAGCCAATGCTAACATATAGCATCTTCTTACTTCTGGAAAACGTCTTTACAGGATGGTCCAAAAGTTGGCTCTTGGCCCAACGCTCCGTTCCACATGTGTGTCAATGCTGAGGGGGGTGATTTTTTTGGACCACGACAATGGAGCTCTCTCCGGCTGACGCATGCGCAGATGCGTTTTTTCAGTCTTCTTGTAGGCGGGACCACTCGCGGCCATTTTGGAAAGCTACACAAGAGCAATTTTTTTGGCCCATTAGTTAGAACGGCGGAGATAGGCGTGACTGTCCGTTAATATTTACAGTCTATGGTACAGACACACAGGTACAGTTTTTTTCTTAAAGATCCTCTGCTCTGTTTCTCAGGATGAAATGTACGTCTCACTGCTGCGGCTCAGCAACACTGTAAGTTCACACTGGGGCTTTGGCTGGGGCTGGGGCTGGGACTGGGACTGGGACGAACTGGGGCTGGGTAGTGTGATCTAAAGTGTGCGTCCTAAAGTGTGTGTCCTGTCCTCAGAACGTGGGCTCGCTGGAGCGGCTCCCGGAGAGGCTGCTGTGTGTGTTTGTGTCTCTGTTCTGCTTCGACGTGGTCCGGCTGGTCCTGGACCTGGTCCGCTCTGTGGCCCCCCTCCTCAGCCACCTGCCACTGACCAACAGGGTACAAGCTCTCAGTACACAGAAGGATACTGGTCTCTCTCTGGTCCCTCTCTGGTCTCTCTCTGGTCCCTCCCTGGTCCCTCCCTGGCCCCTCCCTGGTCCCTCCCTGGTCCCTCCCTGGTCCCTCCCTGGCCCCTCCCTGGCCCCTCCCTGGCCCCTCCCTGGCCCCTCCCTGGCCCCTCCCTGGTCTCTCCCTGGTCTCTCTCTGGTCCCTCCCTGGTCTCTCTCTGGTCCCTCCCTGGCCCCTCCCTGGCCCCTCCCTGGTCTCTCTCTGGTCCCTCTCTGGTCTCTCTCTGGTCCCTCCCTGGTCCCTCCCTGGTCCCTCCCTGGTCTCTCTCTGGTCTCTCTCTGGTCCCTCCCTGGCCCCTCCCTGGCCCCTCCCTGGTCTCTCTCTGGTCCCTCTCTGGTCTCTCTCTGGTCCCTCCCTGGCCCCTCCCTGGCCCCTCCCTGGTCCCTCCCTGGTCTCTCTCTGGTCCCTCTCTGGTCTCTCTCTGGTCCCTCCCTGGTCCCTCCCTGGTCTCTCTCTGGTCTCTCTCTGGTCCCTCCCTGGGCCCTCCCTGGTCTCTCTCTGGTCCCTCTCTGGTCTCTCTCTGGTCCCTCCCTGGCCCCTCCCTGGCCCCTCCCTGGTCCCTCCCTGGTCTCTCTCTGGTCCCTCTCTGGTCTCTCTCTGGTCCCTCCCTGGTCCCTCCCTGGTCCCTCCCTGGTCTCTCTCTGGTCCCTCCCTGGCCCCTCCCTGGTCTCTCTCTGGTCCCTCTCTGGTCCCTCCCTGGTCCCTCCCTGGTCCCTCTCTGGTCCCTCCCTGGCCCCTCCCTGGCCCCTCCCTGGTCCCTCCCTGGTCTCTCTCTGGTCCCTCTCTGGTCTCTCTCTGGTCCCTCCCTGGTCCCTCCCTGGTCTCTCTCTGGTCTCTCTCTGGTCCCTCCCTGGGCCCTCCCTGGTCCCTCTCTGGTCCCTCTCTGGTCTCTCTCTGGTCCCTCCCTGGTCCCTCCCTGGTCCCTCCCTGGTCCCTCCCTGGTCTCTCTCTGGTCTCTCTCTGGTCCCTCCCTGGGCCCTCCCTGGTCTCTCTCTGGTCTCTATATTGATGGTGTCTTTGAACAGATCTGTATTGAAATGGCAGAGGAGAAGGACATTCCCCAAGTTCAGAAACTGCTGCGCAGCTTCAGGCCTGAGTCCAAGTGGGAGCAGAAGATCTGGTGAGGCCTAAAACCCACGGTCCTCAGCTTTAGTTCATCATCAACAACTAACTGCTGCTTCTGTCTCTTTCAGGAGCCAAGTGTTAGCTGTGGAGACGTGAGTACCAGCTATTACCTGTTATTACCAGCTATTACCAGCTACTATCAGAATCAGAATCATTTTTATTGCCACGTAAGTAACAGGAGGTCACAGACTTGGAAATTGCTTTGGCTCAGTGCAACAGTCAGAAAGAGAGGTAAGGGTAGAGAGGCATAATAGAAAATACAGAATAAAAAACACTTCTAAGGAATAAATTTGAAATAAAAATAAAAATAGTTACAGTTACTATGTACAATATACAAGTGCACATGGTGCACACACTGTAAGGTGAAAGCAGTACAGTGAAGTAAAGTGACGTATGATGGGCAGTAAAGTGACTTTATAAAGGGCGGGGGACAGGTTAAGAAGTGTTCAAGAGTCCAACAGCAGAGGGGAAGAAACTGTTCTTGTGGCGGGAGGTTCTAGTCCTGATGGACCGCAGCCTCCTGCCTGAGGGGAGTGGTTGGAATAGTCCATGTGCAGGGTGAGAGGGCAGTGGTTGGAATAGTCCATGTGCAGGTGAGAGGGGTCGGCTGTGATACAACCAGCCCGGCCTCGAGCTCGGGCGACGTACAGGTCCTGCAGCGATGGAAGGCTGCGGCCGATCACTTCCTCTGCAGAGCGCACAATGCGCTGTAGTCTCTGTTTGTCCCTGACTGTGGCTCCAGCGAACCACACGGTGATGGAGGAGGTGATGGAGGAGGTCAACATCTGTGCAGGCAGCTTGGCTTTCCTGAGCTGCCGCAGGAAGTACATCCTCTGCTGGGCCTTCTTGATGAGGAGCTGATGGTCGGCTCCCACTTGAGGTCCTGGGTGATGGTGGTGCCCAGGAAACGGAAGGACTCCACAGAGGTGATGGGGGAGTCCATCACGGAGGGTGGGGGCGGGGGGACAGTGCTCTTCCTGAAGTCCACAATCATCTCCACTGTCTTCTGGGCGTTCAGCTCCAGGTTGTTACCACTGCACCAGGACACCAGCCGGTCCACCTCCCTCCTGTAGGAGACACCAGGACACCAGCCGGTCCACCTCCCTCCTGTAGGAGACACCAGGACACCAGCCGGTCCACCTCCCTCCTGTAGGAGACACCAGGACACCAGCCGGTCCACCTCCCTCCTGTAGGCGGACTCATCGTTGTTGGAGATGAGTCCAATGAGGGTGGTGTCGTCCGCGAACTTGATCAGCTTCACGGAGTCGTGGCTGGAGGTGCAGTGGTTGGTGTACAGGGAGAAGAGCAGGGGAGAAAGAACACAGCCCTGTGGGGCTCCTGTATTTATAATCCGAGAGTCCGAGACATTCTTCCCCAGACGCACTCGCTGCTTCCTGTCCGTCAGGAAGTCAGTGATCCACCTACCAGCTATTACCAGCTGTTACCAGCGCCTGCTAGTACCAGCTATCCTGCTGTGTCCTGCGGTGTCCCCTGATGCTTCATGGTCTTGTTGCAGGTGCCTGGAGCTGAAAGAGCGGCAGAAGGGGTGGAAGGAGCTCAGGGTGAGACTGACCCGTGAGCCTCGTCTGTGCCCGCACAAGAGACCAGCAACAACCAGACTAGAACAACCCAATGAGGACCAGAGACCAGAGCGAGAGAAACCGCCACAGAAGCAGAGCACAGCAGAGGAACCAGGACCCGAAGAAGAACAGAAGGAGACAGGACCAGCAGAGGAACCAGAGAAACCAGGACTAGCAGGGGAACACGTGGAGACAGGACCAGCAGAGGAACCAGAGAGACCAGTACCAGCAGACAAATCTGAGAGACCGGTACCAACAGAGGAACTGGAGAGACCAGGACCAGCAGAGGAACCGGAGAGACCAGGACCAGCAGAGGAACCGGAGAGACCAGGACCAGCAGAGGAACCGGAGAGACCAGGACCAGCAGAGGAACCGGAGAGACCAGGACCAGCAGAGGAACCGGAGAGACCAGGACCAGCAGAGGAACCGGAGAGACCAGGACCAGCAGAGGAACCGGAGAGACCAGGACCAGCAGAGGAACCGGAGAGACCAGGACCAGCAGAGGAACCGGAGAGACCAGGACCAGCAGAGGAACCGGAGAGACCAGGACCAGCAGAGGAACCGGAGAGACCAGGACCAGCTGAGGAACAGGAGGAGACTGAAGGTCCAGACAATAAACCAAAAAAGGTGAGTTTTAGACCTTTGAGCTTCGAACCCAAACAGAATCTGAAGTTTGTTCAATTGTTTTTTCACTTTTCTATTGTGTCTCAACATTTGTCTCTGGTCTCTCTCTGGTCTCCCTCTGGTCTCCCTCTGGTCTCCTTCTGGTCTCTGGTCTCCTTCTGGTCTCTGGTCTCTCTCTGGTCTCTCTCTGGTCTCTCTCTGGTCTCTCTCTGGTCTCTCTCTGGTCTCTCTCTGGTCTCTCTCTGGTCTCTCTCTGGTCTCTCTCTGGTCTCTCTTTGGTCTCCCTCTGGTCTCCAACTTCTGCATGTGTTCCAGACCTCAGATGGATCTTCCAAAGACTCAGACTTTCCTGAAGTCTTCTACAAAACTCTGATCCTTGATTTGAGGGATCACAGGCTCAGCAGGCCGCCGTCTGACAGCGAGCAGGACAACAGCAAGGTCAGACACACACTGACAAACACACACACTGACACACAGACAGACTCACACAGACACACACAGACAATGCTTGTTACTGTCGCTCTAAAGAATAAATATGCCTTGTTTTCTTTGGCCATAAACAGACTGTGTTTTCTCAGAGTCAAACGTCAGAGAAAAGTGGCCATCGCAGCTCGTCCAGACGTGTCCCCTTCGAGGACATGTCAGACTTTGTGACGGTCGACGAAATCTCAGAGAACCACAGCAGCTCCAGCCGCTACCACCACTCCTCCTCCAGCTCCCGCAGAGACTCCGACAGAGACCGACATAGAGACTCCGACAGAGACCGACATAGAGACTCCGACAGAGACCGACATAGGGACAGAGACCACACGTCCTCTCGGTCTTCCAGAGAATCCACGTGGCATCCTTCGTCTTCCAGCTCCAGATCAGACAGAGATGGTTTCAAAAGTCCGACTTGCAGCTCCAGTCCTTCGTCTCAGAGAAAAACTAGTGATTCCATGAAATGCCACTCCAGGAGCCGCTCCCACGAGAGGCATTCAGAAAGATCGGCCAAGTATAAACAGGACAGAGATGCAAAGCCGAGTCTCAAAGCTTCTGAAAAAACCTCAAAATTGCAGGAAGAGAAGGAGAAATCACAGCCTTGTTCAACAGTTACTGACTTGGACAATGACGGCTTCCAAGTTCTTGACAACATCGATGATCAAAGTGAAGAAACCGGAGCTGGTGTTTCAGACGTTTTGCAGTGGGATTCAGCTGAGGCCAAAGTTAAAATGGAAGAGGAGATGAAGGAATCTTTCAAAGTTCTCGACAGTATCACTGATGAACAAGCCAACGAAGAACCAGCTGAGGAACAGCTTCAAGAAGTTCCATCTACAAACGATTCAAAACCAGGAGAAAAAAGAAAAAGAGATGATGAGGATGCAGGCGTTACCCCAAAAACTACCAAAATCGAGGACGAAGAAGGAACTGAAGAGGACACCTTTGAAATCCTGGATTCCATGGAAGACCAAGCTACTGTTGACGATTTCCAAACAGCTGAAGACGTGTCTAATCGTGAAAAATTGGTAGAAAAAGACAATTTTAAAGTCATCGATGAGGTTAGAGATCAATCTAAGTCTGATACTGAATGCAAGAATACGAGATCGACGAGGAGTGGGAGGCAGACCAGGAGTGAAGAGAAAGAGAAACTTCCAAAGCCACAAGTGCGAACGACCAGGCATTCAGAACCAAGGACCAAACGTGACACAGCCGTTTCCAGAATCGAAGAGGAAATGGTTGAATTTAAAGTTGTTGATGCTGTGGAAGAGGAACCAGCACGAGAGCAACCAGCACGAGAGGAGACGGTGACCAGAAGACGTAGCACCCGAGGGAGAAGGTCGGACAAGGACGACTCTATTGAAGACAGTTCTGTGAAAATAGATGTAAATACAAGAGAAAGAAGGTCCAGATCCACCAAATCCAACCTTCATGAAAAAACACATCAAGAGGATTCAAAACCAAATGAACAAGAGCAGATTGAACACACGTCGTCGAGAGAAGCTGGCGACAATGATGCTGTCACGGATTTGGAACAAGGTGCATTTCGGATTTTGGACTCTGTTGAAGAAGACGCTGCAACAATATCGGATTCTGCTGAAATCAAAGCCGATGAAAAGGCTATCGGTGACTTGGAGCAGAATGTGTTTGAGATTTTGGATGAGGTCCAGGAAGAAGTAGCAATGTCTGAGAAGTCCAAAAAGGGAACTGGAGAGACGCCCTCACGGAGCAGAACCCCAGCGAGAGAGTCCCACGAAACAAAAGCCGATGGAGGCGTCTACACAGTTGTGGATTCAGTGGACGATCGGCCGAGCAGAACAACTCGACAAACACGGTCCTCGATCAGAGAGAAGTCCTCGGAGACGACGTTAAAAAGCAGCACGGGAACCAAACGTGGAAGGACTCCCGCCAGAGAAGTTAAAACTGAGACACAAGAAGCGAACGAAGAGGAGTTTCAAATACTCGATGCCGTGGAAGACGCAGCGGCTCCGCCTCCGAAAGCAAAAAGAGGACGACCGAGAAGACAACCTCAGAAGACTACTCCAAAAACAGACGGGAAAGTCAAATCTGTGCAGGTGGAAGAACAGACGGTTACTTCTGAGGATAATTTACCAAAAGAGGTGGAAGAGGAGGAGCCCATGTACGAAGTTCTGGATTCGTTAGAGGAAGACCCAACTCTGGATGACCCTACTTCAATGGATGACCCTACCTCTGAAGGGTCAAATGAAGCGAAGTCGTCTAGCACATTGGAAAAAACAAAACTGGATTGTTCTGTTTCAGTTGTTGATCTGTCCGTTCAAGATATGGCTCTTCTAAAGGAAACTCACGGGGTCAAAACACCGGTTCAGGAAATGGACGAATCCAAAATGGACGATATAAATCAATCTGGGAGTTTGAGCGTGTCTCAGAAATCGGACGTTAAGTTGATCAGTGACGTAGACGTTTGTGAAGCTGAGAAGACGCAGAGACAGTCGACCAGAACGACGAGATCTACACGGAGTGGGAGGGGCTGTCGCAGTCAAGAGGTGTCGCCCAAACCTCGAACAAGCCGACAAAGTGAAGCCAAACCGGAGGCGGGCGGCAAAGAAACGTCGGCAAACGTAGAATCAAAGACAGAAAGTTCAGAATCGATCACTTTAGGGATGTTTGGTGATGAGGACTTTCAGGTTCTGGATTCTGTTGAAGATGAAATGGAGGTTAAAGAACAGACTCCTCGAACTTCGGCCAAAAAGAAGGGAAGGGCTCGCAAGCAGCCCAAGAAGACCGCACCACGGAAGGTTGAGCCATGTGTGGCTGTGGAGGAACGGGAGGAGTCCAACACGGGAAGCCAATCCAAGGATACGTCTGGAACTGCTCTGGAAGAAAGTGTGAAAACTGAGGAAGACGAGCCGCCGCTGTATGAGGTCGTGGATGCAGTGGATGAAGAGGACGACGGCACATCTGCAGAAGTCATGGTGGAACAATGTGATGAAAACAATCACGGACTGTTAAGCCAAGACCAAGTCGCCTGTGAGATCAGACCGGAAACTGAGGATGGAGATGGAACGAGATTGGATCAGAAAGATTATGAAAATATAGAATCGCAACAAGTAGAAACACCTGCATCATTTGGAAATCATGATTCAGAAGAAAAACAAGCATTTCTACAACATTTGGACCAGAAAAGTTCAAAAGACGTTGAAGATGCAAGATCTGTGGAGGAAGGTTGTGAAGCGACATCGTGTGAACCTAAAGTAGAGACTCAGGATGAAGACCAAAGGAAGGAGGAAACCAGCAATCTGCTCAAAAGGACTGGACCAGTATCGGACAATGATGGTTCTGTCGTGGATGGAGCTGCACCAGAGTCGAGCCACACTGGCCTCACCAGTCCCAGTGTGGATATGAATCTGGATGCAGTGAGCGACGAGGAGGATTTCCCGGACGAGGACGGGTTAGTGGTGTTGGATGAGATCTTGGAAGACTCGGAGGAGGAGTGTGAGGTGGGGAAGGACGGGCTGGAGGCGGAAGTGGGGCCTGAGCCAGAGGGATCCGTCCAAGAACCAGGCGTCCAGGGAGACCAGCCAGAGGGATCCGTCCAAGAACCAGGCGTCCAGGGAGACCAGCCAGAGGGATCCGTCCAAGAACCAGGCGTCCAGGGAGACCAGCCAGAACCAGCTGATGCAGACGTGAGCACTTTCATATCTATGTTCACCTTTAAGCCCAATGCAGCTAAACTTTTGTGGTCTTTAGACACTGGAATCGTCACAAACTCCGGCTGAGGAGGCCACGGCGGCGGGAGAAGCCCCAGACCAACTCAAATCTGTCAAACGCAAACTGGAAGACGACGCAGGTGTGTATGAATCAGCTGAGGTCACGAGGAACTGAATAAACGGCTGAAATGTTCGTTGTTTTGTTGATTTTCAGATGAGGTTCTGAACTTTGTGACTGTGGATGAAGTTGGAGAAGTGGAGGAGCTGACGCCAAGAGGCCGCGGCCGCAGGAGAGGCCGAAAAACCCCAGGTACAGAAGTCTCTCTTGTCGTGAGGCAGACCAACACTTTAGTACAAGAAATGTTGTACCTAAACATTTTTTAATACTATGTGACCTGTAGATAAACATCTCATTCAAGAAAAAAGGATGCCTCAAAAAAATGGTGTTGAGCTTTTGGGACTTTATTTAGGACGAGTGGTGTTGAGGCTGTGGAAGAATGACCAGAGACTTATGGTTCACGTCATCCATCTGTAGATTTTACATTATGCAACAATAACGGCAGAGAAAATGGGCGTTTGTGTTGGAGCGTTGATGGTATGGTGTGAGCGTTGATGGTACGGTGAGTGTTGATAGTACTGTGTGAGCGTTGATGGTACGGTGAGTGTTGATGGTACTGTGTGAGCGTTGATGGTACGGTGAGTGTTGATGGTACTGTGTGTGTGAATCTGTGTAGTGCCCCCTTCACTGGACAAATATCTCAACCAGTCACGTCCTGTCTTCAGATCCTCTGTTGATTCAGTAAAACACCTGAATCTCACATTTATTCCCAGTGAGAAAATCAGCTCGAGGTCGAGCAGTGGCCCCTAAAGACGAGGTGCGGCCGGAGCCCAGGTCCAGAGCAGAGTCTGTGGAGAGACCGAGACTGTCAGAGACTGAGAGGCGAGGAGAGGCGAGGGGGCTGCAGCTGGGAGTGGAGGCCGACGTCAGAGGTACAGTGTTATGGTTGAACTGTGAATGTGGGTCAGGGTCCGATTGTCGACTGCACTGACTCGTTTGTTTCCAGTCGGCAGTAAACGCAGCAGTGTCGCCGAGGGACCGCACTCCAAGCGGTCTCGCTCTCAGTCGCCGTCTGCTTCATCGGACGCCAGGCTCCCGCCGTTCAGACGCAACAACCCGATCGGTAACTCACTGCTTCATTCATTCTCAGTTTATTCTCTCTGGTCTCTCTCTGGTCTCTCTCTCTGTCTCTCTCTCTGGTCTCTCTCTCTGGTCTCTCTCTCTGGTCTCTCTCTGGTCTCTCTCTGGTCTCTCTCTCTGGTCTCTCTCTCTGGTCTCTCTCTCTGGTCTCTCTCTCTGGTCTCTCTCTGGTCTGTCTATGGTCTCTCTCTGGTCTCTCTCTGGTCTCTCTTTGGTCTCTCTCTGGTCTCTCTCTGGTCTCTCTCCGGACTCTCTCTGGTCTCTCTCTCTGGTCTCTCTCTCTGGTCTCTCTCTGGTCTGTCTATGGTCTCTCTCTGGTCTCTCTCTGGTCTCTCTCTGGTCTGTCTATGGTCTCTCTCTGGTCTCTCTCTGGTCTCTCTCTGGTCTCTCTCTGGTCTCTCTCTGGTCTCTCTCCGGACTCTCTCTGGTCTCTCTCTCTGGTCTCTCTCTCTGGTCTCTCTCTATGGTCTCTATGGTCTCTCTCTCTGGTCTCTCTGGTCTCTCTGGTCTCTCACTGGTCTCTCACTGGTCTCTCTCTGGTCTCTCTCTGGTCTCTCTCTGGTCTCTCTCTGGTCTCTCTCTGGTCTCTCTCTATGGTCTCTCTGGTCTCTCTCTCTCTCTGGTCTCTCTCTGGTCTCTCTCTGGTCTCTCTCTGGTCTCTCTCTCTCTGGTCTCTCTCTATGGTCTCTCTCTGGTCTCTCTCTCTGGTCTCTCTCTCACTGGTCTCTCTCTGGTCTCTCTCTATGGTCTCTCTGGTCTCTCTCTCTGGTCTCTCTCTGGTCTCTCACTGGTCTCTCTCTCTCTGGTCTCTCTCTATGGTCTCTCTCTGGTCTCTCTCTCTCTGGTCTCTCTCTCTCTGGTCTCTCTGGTCTCTCTCTCTGGTCTCTCTCTCTCTGGTCTCTCTGGTCTCTCTCTATGGTCTCTATGGTCTCTCTCTCTGGTCTCTCTGGTCTCTCTGGTCTCTCACTGGTCTCTCACTGGTCTCTCTCTGGTCTCTCTCTGGTCTCTCTCTGGTCTCTCACTGGTCTCTCTCTGGTCTCTCTCTATGGTCTCTCTGGTCTCTCTCTCTCTCTGGTCTCTCTCTGGTCTCTCTCTGGTCTCTCTCTGGTCTCTCTCTCTCTGGTCTCTCTCTATGGTCTCTCTCTGGTCTCTCTCTATGGTCTCTCTGGTCTCTCTCTCTGGTCTCTCTCTGGTCTCTCACTGGTCTCTCTCTCTCTGGTCTCTCTCTATGGTCTCTCTCTGGTCTCTCTCTCTCTGGTCTCTCTCTCTCTGGTCTCTCTGGTCTCTCTCTCTGGTCTCTCTCTCTCTGGTCTCTCTGGTCTCTCTCTATGGTCTCTCTGGTCTCTCTCTATGGTCTGTCTCTCTGGTCTCTCTGGTCTCTCTCTGGTCTCTCTCTGGTCTCTCACTGGTCTCTCACTGGTCTCTTACTGGTCTCTCACTGGTCTCTCTCTCTGGTCTCTCTCTCTGGTCTCTATGGTCTGTCTCTCTGGTCTCTCTGGTCTCTCACTAGTCTCTCACTAGTCTCTCTCTGGTCTCTCTCTGGTCTCTCTCTCTCTGGTCTCTCTCTCTCTGGTCTCTCTGGTCTCTCTCTCTGGTCTCTCTCTCTCTGGTCTCTCTGGTCTCTCTCTATGGTCTCTCTGGTCTCTCTCTATGGTCTGTCTCTCTGGTCTCTCTGGTCTCTCTCTGGTCTCTCTCTGGTCTCTCACTGGTCTCTCACTGGTCTCTTACTGGTCTCTCACTGGTCTCTCTCTCTGGTCTCTCTCTCTGGTCTCTATGGTCTGTCTCTCTGGTCTCTCTGGTCTCTCACTAGTCTCTCACTAGTCTCTCTCTAGTCTCTCACTGGTCTCTCACTAGTCTCTCACTGGTCTCTCTCTCTGGTCTCTCACTGGTCTCTCTCTGGTCTCTCTCTGGTCTCTCACTGGTCTTTGTTGTGTCTGGTCCAGGTCAGGACTATGTGGAGCCCAGGACTGGTTTCTTCTGCTCTTTGTGCTCGGTGTTTTATGAGACTGAGTCGTCGGCGAGAGACCAGCACTGCAGCAGCCGCCGCCACTATGACAACCTGAAGGTGATGTCACACACTGGGGTGATGTCACACACTGGGGGAGAGAGGAGAGAGGAGAGAGGGGAGAAAGCGAGGAGAGAGAGGGGGAGGTAACGTGAACAGTTTTCATAATTGTTTATTTTGTGTTTTACAGAAACATTTGGAGAGAGAGTCCAGAGCAACGAGTCACTGAGGCCTTCAGGGTGATGTCACATGTCCACTGGTCAGGAGAGATGATGTCACATGTCCACTGGTCAGGAGAGGTGATGTCACATGTCCACTGGTCAGGAGAGATGATGTCACATGTCCACTGGTCAGGAGAGGAGATGTCACATGTCCACTGGTCAGGAGAGGTGATGTCACATGTCCACTGGTCAGGAGAGGAGATGTCACATGTCCACTGGTCAGGAGAGGAGATGTCACATGTCCACTGGTCAGGAGAGGTGATGTCACATGTCCACTGGTCAGGAGAGGTGATGTCACATGTCCACTGGTCAGGAGAGATGATGTCACATGTCCACTGGTCAGGAGAGGTGATGTCACATGTCCACTGGTCAGGAGAGGTGATGTCACATGTCCACTGGTCAGGAGAGGTGATGTCACATGTCCACTGGTCAGGAGAGGTGATGTCACATGTCCACTGGTCAGGAGAGGTGATGTCACATGTCCACTGGTCAGGAGAGGTGATGTCACATGTCCACTGGTCAGGAGAGGTGATGTCACATGTCCACTGGTCAGGAGAGGAGATGTCACATGTCCACTGGTCAGGAGAGGTGATGTCACATGTCCACTGGTCAGGAGAGGTGATGTCACATGTCCACTGGTCAGGAGAGGAGATGGGCTGAGTGAGGCTGGTCCTCTCTGGTCCAGACCCAGACCCAGCCTCGTAGATGTTCCAGTTTCTCTGATGAAACCCAAACCGTAATGTGAGAGTCTGAGGGACTGTTGTGAAGAGGGAGCAGCGTCTGCTCTCAGAGCTCTCAGATTCAAACTGATGAATTCTTTTTGTGGATGTATATAAATAAATTGTATCAAAGGGTCCAGATGTTGATGCTCTGTACATTTGACTGTGAATAAAGTTTTACTGTTTTTGAACCATGTGTCAATCAAGTGTGGTGTCACCGTGGCGACCGCGTCTCTGACCGTTCATTCATAAACCAATGAGAGGCGCTCAAAGCCGCTTGCTGTTTTAACTTTCTACATCTTTGTGTTTTCTTGCAGCTAAAAGCATTAAAAACGTCACTGAACCATAAAGAGAAATACCAGGGATTATACAAGGAACGTGCTCTGATCCTGAAGACATTTTATTTCATGTTTTATATTTCCCCACGTTGTGTGAGGAACTTTATCTTCAGTTTGTTTAGTCAAAATAAAAAGGCAGGAGACAGATGTTCTGCAGCAGTTTAAAAGAATCAAAGATTAGAGTCAATATGATGAAAGATATTGACCCAAAGTTGTAAATATTTTACTGAAGAACAGTTTGAGTGAAGATGGAGCAGGCAGCAGAAGATAAATGATCAGAAGGAACTGTCATGAACCGTCTGCAGTGAATAGAAACGACAAAAGGGGCGGAGTCTATCTGCGGAGTCACGTTTGTAAGATAATGAGTCAACTACAAACACTGAAAACACTTTGGAAAGTTACTGTTGAAATGAAACGATATAACAGTTGTAAAGGTGCACTTTGTTAATCCCCGTCGGGCACTTCCTCCTCTGGGCTCACGTCAGGAGCAGTGGTCGCCGTAGTAACAGCGCCTGGAACCATCTGCAGATGTTGATGCTCTGGGTCAGGACCAGAGCTGGAGGATCTAACCTGAGCATGTTTATAGTGGTAGGGGAAACCGGAGTACGCGGAGGAAACCTACGCAGGCACAGGGAGAACATGCAAACTCCACTCTCATTACATCATCACATCCAGATGAACCAATGGCAACGTCTGTATCAGCAACATTCACTGATGTCACACGGACCAGAAGGACCCTCAAAGATGAACTGAATAATTTATGAGATTTATAGATTGGAAAACCTTAATGAAGCCTATAATAATATTTATTTGAATATTGTTTTGGATCGACTGCTGGATATTTCATCAGTCGATCCAATCGATTTATCATTAGCATATTATTATTATATTATTATTATTATTATCATTATTATATTATTATTATCGACCATTTTTGTCGTTGGCAGTCGTTAAAATGATGGAAAACATTTCACAATCATTCAGTGATAAATTATAAACGATAGGATTATTTTTTATCATAGTTTTATTAAAACATGGTTTTAGGGAAAAGTACATTCCTGGTTAAACAGGTTCCAGTTTATTTAACAGAGTTCCACCTGGTTCTCACAGTCCACCTGGTTCTCACAGTGTCAGTGTGGAGTTCCACCTGGTTCTCACAGTATCAGTGTGGAGTTCCACCTGGTTCTCACAGTGTCAGTGTGGAGTTCCACCTGGTTCTCACAGTGTCAGTGTGGAGTTCCACCTGGTTCTCTCAGTGTCAGTGTGGAGTTCCACCTGGTTCTCACAGTGTCAGTGTGGAGTTCCACCTGGTTCTCTCAGTGTCAGTGTGGAGTTCCATCTGGTTCTCACAGTGTCAGTGTGGAGTTCCACCTGGTTCTCTCAGTGTCAGTGTGGAGTTCCACCTGGTTCTCACAGTGTCAGTGTGGAGTTCCACCTGGTTCTCTCAGTGTCAGTGTGGAGTTCCATCTGGTTCTCACAGTGTCAGTGTGGAGTTCCACCTGGTTCTCTCAGTGTCAGTGTGGAGTTCCACCTGGTTCTCTCAGTGTCAGTGTAGAGTTCCACCTGGTTCTCTCAGTATCAGTGTGGAGTTCCATCTGGTTCTCACAGTGTCAGTGTGGAGTTCCATCTGGTTCTCTCAGTATCAGTGTGGAGTTCCACCTGGTTCTCTCAGTATGAGTTCCATCTGGTTCTCTCAGTATCAGTGTGGAGTTCCACCTGGTTCTCTCAGTATCAGTGTGGAGTTCCACCTGGTTCTCTCAGTATCAGTGTGGAGTTCCACCTGGTTCTCTCAGTATCAGTGTGGAGTTCCATCTGGTTCTCTCAGTGTGGAGTTCCATCTGGTTCTCACAGTGTCAGTGTGGAGTTCCACCTGGTTCTCACAGTACAGACAGGTACAGACAGAGACACAGGTACAGACAGAGACACAGGTACAGACAGAGACACAGGTACAGACACAGGTACAGACAGAGACACAGGTACAGACAGACACAGGTACAGACAGAGACACAGGTACAGACAGACACAGGTACAGACAGACACAGGTACAGACAGAGACACAGGTACAGACAGACACAGGTACAGACAGAGACACAGGTACAGACAGACAGAGACACAGGTACAGACAGACAGAGACACAGGTACAGACAGACAGAGACACAGGTACAGACAGACAGAGACACAGGTACAGACAGACAGAGACAGAGAGACACAGGTACAGACAGACAGAGACACAGGTACAGACAGACAGAGACACAGGTACAGACAGAGAGACACAGGTACAGACAGAGACACAGGTACAGACAGACACAGGTACAGACAGACACAGGTACAGACAGACACAGGTACAGACAGAGACACAGGTACAGACACAGGTACAGACAGAGACACAGGTACAGACAGACACAGACAGAGACAGACAGAGACACAGGTACAGACAGACACAGGTACAGACAGAGACAGGTGAAACACATCAGGGCGGGGCAGATTATCAAGACAGGAAGTACCACAGAACCAAACCACAGAAAACTCATTTCAAAATAAAACAAAAATACAAAAATAAAATCCACACTATGAGTCTGTGTTTCTTGGTTCACAGACACTAAAGGGCTGTGTCTGTGGCTTCATGGTGCCTGCTCCTGGTCCTGCCCAGACTCATCTGGTATTGTTTTTGTTTTAGATGTCAGACGGTAGAATAATAAAGTTAAAGATGTCAGACTGTAGAATAATAAAGTTAGAGATGTTAGACTGTAGAATAATAAAGTTAGAGATGTTAGACTGTAGAATAATAAAGTTAGATATGTTAGACTGTAGAATAATAAAGTTAGAGATGTTAGACTGTAGAATAATAAAGTTAGAGATGTTAGACTGTAGAATAATAAAGTTAGAGATGTTAGACTGTAGAATAATAAAGTTAGAGATGTTAGACTGTAGAATAATAAAGTTAGAGATGTTAGACTGTAGAATAATAAAGTTAGATATGTCAGACTGTAGAATAATAAAGTTAGATATGTCAGACTGTAGAATAATAAAGTTAGAGATGTCAGACTGTAGAATTATAGTCTGTGCTTTTATTGTGAAAGGCTGGAGCAGGAAGTGTTGACAGGACCTGGAGCTGAGGGCGATGGAGGTGAGTCCAGGATCTGCAGAAACTTTCGCACGTGCACGCGGAGACTGCCGCTGAACCCGGGCCCGTGCGTGAGGGCGGTAATTGGGGGGGGGGGGGGGGGGGGGGGGGGGGGGGGCCTGAACTCATGAGTTAATTATTAAACTGTGTCGTAATGATGCGCGTGCACGTGTTTAGCACTTTATTAAAGTTAGCCCCCCCCCCTCACCAACAAAGTGCACTCGCCACATTCTCCCTAATAATTGGGACACCCTGGATCTAGGGGACAGTATGCAAATGACGCAGCGGACGTGTTCTACGTCACACACATGATCAAAGTGTGTGTTTCACGTCAGATAAGATCTGACACACACATACACGTTTTTGTTACCTGGTGGGTCCCTTTGACAGGGCCGTTCAGAATGGGACCCATAGACATAATCTTTTTTTACTGGGACTACTTTAAGTAATACAAAACAAACAACTATTTTAAAGGATTTTTTTTTTTTTTTTCGAATTGCAGTGATTCTATTTTTGACATAGAATTTAATGCCACTCCATGTCCGATGTCTAAGGTCATCTGGTGAGGCATTAATGCAGGCCAGGCCAGGCCAGGCCAGGCAGTGAGACTTCCCAGGGACCTTTCCAGTCTGTATGAAAGGTGTCATGGTCTTCTCCACAGCCTTCACCTCAGATGCAGACCATGGCTTTCTCTAACGTTCTAGGGAGAGAAATAAAAATATATTAGCAATATACACTCCCAGGGTTAGGACCAAGCAGCCTGGCTGTAATCCCCCACCTGGTACACTTACCAGAAGGGGCACTGCCACTACCATGGGGTGCATCTGGATGAATGGTTGAAGGTTCTCCGCTTGAAGTTTCTTTTAGCCCGTCCGTTTGTGAGAGGATCTCTACTGCTCTCCCTGTCGCACAGAAAATAAAAATACAAGTGGCCTTTAGGGGAAAAAAATCATACATATTTTAATAATATCAAGAATTACCTTCAGGCTCAATTTGTATCTGGTCGAGGCTCTTTCCTTCGAATTCCGTCACTCTTCCCTGCTCCATGGCCATCAACACTTTGCTGATTTTGGCCAGCTCCAGTGTCCCCTCTGGTAGTCTGTAATATTGCCTGTGGATGCGAATGTCATGGCCGAGGAAGTTGGCAAGTATGTCCATCTCATTCTCTTTCATATTGAGAACTGTAGACATAGTAGAAGTTTGGTTGAGGATAGCATCTCTGGATGCACCGCACCACATTCTTTGGCTACCTGGCGTAGGGAGTCTGATCCCCTGATGTGGGTGTCTGCGCCCGGGCGGGAAAAGAAGTATGGGTTATGGTCAGAGATGGAACAGGCCCTTCTGTTCTCCACCAGCACCTCCATCGAAGCAATCATTTCAGGAGTCAAAAGAACCGGCACTTTCCGACTTCTTTTCCCTTTAATTTCAATGCGTTGAAAATGCTGACACAGCTTTTTCTCAAGTTGGGACAGTCCCAGAGCAATGTCAGAATGGATCCCAGTCTTACTTCTTAAGGTAAAGGCTGTCAGTGGCATCTTTGAAACCTCACCTTCCCTTCTTCGATTGAAAATAATGACCAGCTGTTTAGCTGGGACTAAAGTTCCAATGCCGGCCTTTAAAACCTCAAAATTGTGCTCACGGTTTCCACTATTCCTGATCAAATCAAACTGAAGTTTACGTGCTTTAGATTTCACAGGTAGAGCCAATGCTCTGGCTACGTCACTTTCATTTCCATGTTTTCTAGTCAAATGACGGGACATTTTGTGGCAGGACATTGAACAGTAGAGGCAGTTCACCTTGGAGAGACCCACAAGGGGGAATGCAGTTAGAAGTTTTATTTGATTAAGCATGTTTGGCGCCCTAGGCCCGGGAGAGATGCTGTTGAGCACGGCGCTTGCTCGCGTGCATACTCCCCCCCTGGGCCTAGGCACTGGTGGCGGCAGAGGCAGTAGGCAAGCACGCTTCGATGAGAGAAGGAGGAGGTGGGGCGGCGGAGGCTTGCAGACTTGAGAAGGCCGGGAAGTGGGCGTCTCCGGCTTTTAACTTGCTGTCCTGGTGGTTATTGGTTGGCTGGATGTGGGCGTTGCTGGTACGATGAGCCGAGGATGAGAGCAGGCTTGTAGATCTGGGCAAGCAGCAGCCGGGTCTACCACAGTGAACCTGCGCAAAAAGCTCCATAAGTGCCTCTTGCTGTAAACTCTCCCCCCATTTTTCTTCTTTTGCAGCTGCATGATAACAATCTTATTTGCCTTTGGTTCGTCACTTTCCGAGTCTTGAAGAAAAGTGTTTTTGATTTTTCTTTTTCCATACTTTTTTACAGGTTTCTTCTTGACAGTTAAATCGTCAGAATCTGAGTCGACTTCATCAATTAGGGACTCTTGACTAAGCTGCACAAACAACAAATAATTTGTAATCATTCTATATAACAATTTGAAGTCATGACTTGTAGTCAGCACTTACCAGTGGTTTGTAAGCGTGCGCTTCAGTGTGCTGCTCTGTGATTGGCTGCAGCCTAATGAACCACACACTTGCACCTTTTCTAGCCTGACACCTGACTTCCTCTGTTGTGCTGCTCCATGATTGGCTCCAGCCTCTGTTGTACTGCTCCATGATTGGCTCCAGCCTCTGTTGTGCTGCTCCATGATTGGCTCCAGCCTCTGTTGTGCTGCTCCATGATTGGCTCAAGCCTCTGTTGTGCTGCTCCATGATTGGCTCCAGCCTGCTGGACTGAAATTGCCCCAGTGTGCCCCTCCTTGATATCCCGCAACCCACCACCAGGGTTCCGACACATAACACACTTTTTTCAGGAAAGTAAACCTCCAGGGGTCCTTTCCATATTTTTACAGAGACTGCATAAGGACCGTTAGAAAAGCATTACGCATTGATTATTAAGCTTGGACCAGTGGACCATAAGATCAGACACAGATATGACTTTATGAAACACACTATTTACTAAAATGAGACGTTTTTAATTCTTTTTCATATGAAGATTAGCTATAATGAGATACAGAACTGATGCACACACATATGTACACACACAGAGAAAGACACACACACACACAGACACACACATATACACACACAGAGCCACACATGTACCACACAGAGACAGACGGGTACAGTCGCGGTCCCGCGGATTACAAAGCAAACTGTGTCAAAGCGATTCTCTGAACTACATGGATCTATGATAATAACATGGATCTATAATAATAACATGGATCTATAATAATAACATGGATCTATAATAATAACATGGATCTATAATAATAACATGGATCTATAATAATAACATGGATCTATAATAATAACATGGATCTATAATAATAACATGGATCTATGATAATAACATGGATCTATAATAATAACATGGATCTATGATAATAACATGGATCTATAATAATAACATGGATCTATAATAATAACATGGATCTATAATAATAACATGGATCTATAATAATAACATGGATCTATGATAATAACATGGATCTATAATAATAACATGGATCTATGATAATAACATGGATCTATAATAATAAACATGGATCTATAATAATAACATGGATCTATAATAATAACATGGATCTATAATAATAACATGGATCTATAATAATAACATGGATCTATGATAATAACATGGATCTATAATAATAACATGGATCTATGATAATAACATGGATCTATAATAATAACATGGATCTATAATAATAACATGGATCTATAATAATAACATGGATCTATAATAATAACATGGATCTATGATAATAACATGGATCTATAATAATAACATGGATCTATAATAATAACATGGATCTATAATAATAACATGGATCTATAATAATAACATGGATCTATAATAATAACATATGGATCTATGATAATAACATGGATCTATAATAATAACATGGATCTATAATAATAACATATGGATCTATGCAAAGGAAGGTTTCTCACCCATCATCTGTACTTCTTAGCAAGTTCTCCCGACGTTTCGTCCTCAAACTAGCGGACTTCTTCAGGGAATGAATTCTCGGACCGCGCGTTGGAGATTTATAACCTATGGGTGTGGTTAGCCACACCCTAATCCTGATACTAACTCGTAAACAATCTTAGGTCTGATGTAGAAGGGAGCAGGTCTAACGACCCTGCTGAGGCTAACGACCCTAACTCCTTAGCATGTCACAGACCTATTGTCTGCTGGGATGCTCAAGTGGAGTGCAGGTCTCACGCGTTGTTTTTAGGATGTCGTCATAGATGCGAGACAAAACAAATCTTAACCCTCCTCCTCTGTTAAGAGACGGTTTTTGTTTCCTCACAAAAATGGCTTCTTACACTCCTCTCTCAAACCAATTCTTCTCCCGAGCCAGAATTTTAACCTCTGTGTCATCCACTGTGTGGTTGGAGGCCTTGAGGTGGAGATGAACAGCCGACAGTGGCCCACTAGAGTTTTCTCTACGATGTTGGTAAAGTCGTTTCTGTAGAGTTTGTTTGGTTTCTCCAATATAGTGGTCAGTGCACTCCTCTTCACTACATTTAATTGAATACACCACATTGCTCTGTTTGTGTCTGGGTGTTTTGTCTTTGGGATGCACTAATTTCTGTCTTAACGTGTGGAAAGGTTTGAAATACACAGGGATTTTGTGTTGCCTAAAGATTCTTTGTAGTTTTTCTGAAACTCCCGCCACATACGGTAAGGACACCCCTCTCCTCCTACTTTCTTCTGTCTGTTGGACTGTGTCTCTGGCCTTTCTCGTCCTTTGGGCTTTAGTAAAAGACCACTTGGGGTAGCCACATCTGGAAAGTGCTCTCTGAACATGTTTGGTTTCTCTGTTCTTTCCCTCCGAGCTTGTGGGGACCTGGTGGGCTCGGTGTTGAAGCGTTCTAATGACCCCGAGTTTGTGTTGTAGCGGATGATTTGAATCAAAGGCCAGGTTCTGGTCAGTGTGAGTGGACTTTCTGAAGACCTCAGTCTCTAATTGTCTGTTCTCCAGTATGATGACCGTACAATCTAGAAAGGCGAGTTCACTCTCCTTAGCATCCTCGCGAGTGAAATTTATAAAAGGGTCCACCGAATTAATGTGTTCTGAAAATGGTTCCACTTCCTGTTTCTTTAACTTAACCCATGTATCGTCTACATATCGAAACCAATGGCTTGGCGCTGTCCCTTGGTAAGAGCCCAGGGCTTGTTCCTCCAGTTTCTCCATATACAGATTGGCCCCTATAGGAGAGACTGGGGAGCCCATCGCACAGCCATGAATCTGTCTAAAGAAGGTGCCTCTAAATTGGAAATACGTGGTGTTAAGACACATTTCAAGTATTTCACAGATGTGGTCAGCTGTTAGTTTCGTTCTCTCCCCTAGTGTGGCGTCTTTCTGTAGGCTTTCTCTTACAGCCTCCACCGCCTCTGTGATAGGGGCCGACGTAAAAAGCGATGTCACATCAAACGAGACCATTGTCTCATCTGTGTCAAACTGGAGGTGTTTGATTTTATTTACAAATTCTTTTGTGTTTTCTATGTGATGGTGGGTGTTACCCACCAAAGGTGTTACCTTTGGTGGGTGTTACCCACCAAAGGAGCCAGAATGGTTTTGAGGTGTTTAGCCAGGTTGTAGGTGATAGAGTCTATGCTACATACAATAGGCCGAAGTGGAAAGTTTTGTTTGTGTATTTTTGGGAGTCCATAAATACTGGGAATGGTGTCTCCTGGGTAAAGTTTGTAATATAGTGGTTTTTCAATAATGCCCTCTTTCACTAAGCTCTGAAGGAAGTCTATAATCTTTTTCCTAAACCCACTGGTAGGGTCCCTCTTCAATGGCTG